TATCTAGAGACTTAAAACTTCAAATAGATTAGCTTAGCACAAGTTTCTTATTGAATGAAACAATTAAAAATGATCATCATTAATTGAATGATTTCCATTTTATTTTGTAACTTTCAGATTATTTCATTAGATCTGCAATCAAAAACTCTGTTGAACATTATGTACATATGCAAATAAAATCATCGTTTCTTATAGAAATAGAGATATTTTTTTTCCTTTGTGAGATGTTATATTTCTCATCCTGATACGAATTATATAAAACAATCATCTGAAATAACTTGACACGCTGTTATCGTCAATACAAAATTCTCCTAATAAAAGCAATGCTAAATCATTAAAAATCTATTCCACATTCATTGACTATCAATAATACATTCTTTTAGATCTTGAACAAACGCTGACAATGCTCTTTATTCGACATTTGAAATTGCGAGATCAATTTGTGATTAACAAAAGCATTCTATCTTTCTATGCTATCGATGTAGGTGTGTTGCTTTCTTACATAAATTAGCTCAAATTTTCTAAAACCCGACTTGATAAATTCTACTTGTCGAGCTTGATATTGAAACTGCCTAAAAATCAAAGAAAACTTTTGATGTGCAACTTAACAAAACTGTTGAATCAAGTAAACACAGGATTGGTGATGAATTTATAACTTGTAGTGACACATCTTAATACATATTTAAGCCCTTAATAATAAAAAAAGAGCTAATTCAAATCATCATTCAAATAAAAGCATTATTTGATTGATCCTATTGTTTCACCCATCAAATCATATTCTTATTGTCAAATTTGGAAAATTTTTTATAAATCGTAATTCTAAACATTTCATTATTTTTATAATTTGAAGGCATCGTTATAATTTTGTGAAGACTTTTTTTGAATTGAACACATTCTTTTCGAACGCATACAGAAAATAAAAGAATGGAAAACAAATGATTCAATTCCAATTTGTATCGGATGTGATGTTGGAATATCAGTATTAAAAGTTAGACTTTCAGATTTTAACAATCCTTCACGATTCATCGATATTGGCCATGAAAAAGCAAATACAACATATAAGATTATACAAGTACTACAAGATCTTCAGGAAAAACTCTTACAAGTCGATTCCCAAGTGATTCGTCTCGGTTCAGCAAATTCTTTTGCAGGACCAATCAAAAATAACACAGTTACCATTACAAATTGGAATGGATCCATTGAAGATAGATCATTGTCAATTTCACAACTTCCTTCAAGTATTTTTCCAAAAGAAAGGTCAGTTTTCTTAAATGATTTAGAAGCATGCGCGTATGGAATTATTGCAGCTAAAGAACAAGGAATTCTTGAAGAAAATTTTGCTCAGCTGTTTGAAGATAAAGCTCCAGAAGGTCCTGTTTTATCTAATGAAAGAACAGCTATTTTAGCGATGGGATCTGGTTTTGGAGTTGCTCTAATTGCCAGAACACCTCTTCATGACAAACCTGTTGTAGTTCCAACAGAAATAAGACATATTCAAATACCTCCACGAATGGAAAAACATAAAATGTTTGCAGAAGAAGATGATTTACTTGAGTATATTTCAAAATGTAATTATCAAGGACGACTTGATCCAGAATATGAAGATATTTGTTCTGCAAGAGGAATCAAGATCTGTTACCAATACTATCACTTAAAATCCACAGGAGAAAAAATAAATCTTGATAAAATTGATCCTGCCGATATTGCTCAAAGAGCAATTAGAGGTGAAAGAGATGCACATGATGCATTGAAAACACATTACTTATACTACTTTAGAGCTGCAAAAACAATAGCAAGTTCACTTTCTTGTCAATCAATAGTTCTTGCATTAGCTAATCAAGTAAAGAATTATCCATTCGTTATGTCAATTGTAGAAGAGCTTGAAGATGAATTCTATGAATTTATTAGACCAGATTGGATTTGCGGAACAAGAATTTATTCACAAACATCCCTTCTTAACTTCAATATCCTAGGAACAATTTATATGGCACATGCAATAGCAAATATGGCAGAATAAATATAGAAGTACTTGTTATCATTACATATTATAATGGCTTTGAATGTTTATATAAAAATTATTTTATTGTTATTACTTTTTTCCAATTTTTCGATGCAAATTTCTTGAAATTCCATTGTTTTTTTATTATTGATGAAACAGTTATAAACTAATATGTAATGCATACAACACATATCACGCTGTTAGTAAAATCTATTGAAGAGTTGATTAATACTGAATCGTGAATTTGAATCGATGAGATTTTGATTTTTGGAGAGATCAGGCAAGAAAGTATATTTCTACTTATACCAGACTATACATGGCACGATGGGCGCTACTTTTTTGGCGCCAGCGGCGCCGCCCGCGCCTCCGGTGGCTCCCACTGGTGGGGAGGAGACGATAGAAAAAGATATAAATTTTACTAAAAAAATTGAATTTTGGAAATTCTTTTGATTTTATAGATCCAAGGTGATGTGATTTTTGCATCCCTGGGATGGACGATACACCCAAAGTGTCACCTTTTTGGGATAACATGAATTTGAAATATCATGAGAGTTCTGCAAACCATATGCACAATATCTATTCAGCCTGACTTCTTGTATATATGAGTTAGACTTCTTAAATATTGTGCTTGAGGCGATATAAGCATTTCCGAGATTACCATCGTGCTCTATAGTATGCTACTTCTCCCTGGTTCTAGCTCAGTTCCAAGGATATTGGCGTTCAAGGATTTGGCAAGGTCCTTCCGAATTCTCTCATTCGATGAGAGATTTCGGAAGAATCTTGCCTTAAAGTACTCCAACTCTTGTTCTTTTGTTCCTAAATAGTGAGAAAAGTTATTTGACTACTTAAGGTAGAGATTATCCGAGGTCCCTCATTTGATGAGAGGCCTCGGATAATCTCTGCCTTAAAATTGTACACTTGTAGTCCATGAGAGTGTAAGTATACATTGATAGGACAGCTTTCTTCTGAAGTCTTAGATTTGATGAGAACCTCAGAAGAAAACTGTCCTATTTTATAGTAAAAGGAGTTTCAGGAGCTCCAAAGCTCCCTTTCGTAAGGATTAGGAGCTTTGGAGCTCCTGGTTCGTAGATGTGTTTCGCATCTTTCATCAGCAAAGGACATTTACCATCTGGGACTCTGTTGATGGAGACTCAGGAGCTCCAAAGCTCCCTTTAGTAAGGATTAGAAGCTTTGAAGCTCCTGGTTCGTAGACGTGTTTCGCATCGTTCATCAGAAGAGGCCCAAATGGTAAATAGCCTCTGCTGATGAGCTTCAGGAGCTCCAAGGCTCCCTCTCGTAACGATTAGGAGCTTTGTAGCTCCTGAAGGTAAGGTAGGATTGCTCTGATCTCTAATCAGTAGATGCCATGCCTCATTATGAACTCTACTGACAAGAGATCAAGAGCTCCAAGGACTCCCTTTTGAGTTAGTGGCGTTCTCACTATTTAGTAGGATTGCTGATCCTACTAATGAAGTGATCACTTAGTATACGTTTTGAATAAATTGAATTTTTTTTAGAATTTAGTATTTTTTATAGACATCATATGTATATTATAAATACATAAATATATTCTTTAATTCAAAAAATTCAATTCGGTTTTGGGATGGGTATCCCAGCCCCAAGTATTCAATTTTATTCAATTTTTTAAGAATTTTGGGTTGGGATGCCCAGACCAAAACAAGCTTTATATTTTGATGTGTAGATACGTATGTGTGCATCATTGTTGTGTTATATGTTATGTTTTTAATGAAAAAAAAATCTGATTCAAAAAAATTATCACTAATTAGTTGATAATATAAAGAAAAAATAGATAAATTGTATGTTTTGAGAGTATTTATCTACATTCACTCATATGAATTTCATTAAATAGTGTCTTTTTACTCCCAAATTTATTTTGAATTATTGAAATTAAAGAAAAAAAATAAGAAAAATTTCTCGAAATTTTTATTTTCAAAAAAAATTTGGATTTTATATTGAAAACTGACACTGGGAGGACGATAGGGCTGGGATTGGAGATACCCCGCTCACTTGGGAAAAATACGGATCTATATTTGATTTTTTTGAATGATTTACGAAGAGATTGAACACATTTTGTACTATGAAATATCGTTATTAATAAATTTACTTCTTAAACATCTATTAAAATCGCAATTTTGAATATTTTTATGATTTTTTTTGACCCGATCACTTGCGCCCGCGCCCACTGGGAGGGGTGCTTGTAAAGTATTCAAAAATCAATGTAAACATTTCAATTTTTGCTCCCACCTCCCATTGGGAGGGGGGCATATATCTTGTAGCGTTCAAGTTCAAGTGATGAAAGTGCATAAGAAGGCTCCTTAATCATACCGATAGAAACAGCATTAGGGGCGCCAAATGGCGCTCGGTGATGTTTCCCATAAAAGCTTAATTTCAGGTATCCATAATCATAACCTGTCAGACACAATAATTCATTAGCACACAATCATCGTTTCTCAATCAAGAAACGAAACACACGATTGATTATGCTGGCCATTAAATTTTCATATCAAATAATTTACTACTTCAAGAAAAATTAAAGACTATCATCAACCAAAGCTTAAAATTCTCAGTGTTTACAACTCTCATACTTCGAATATGCATATTTCCAAAATAGCATGAAAATTTTTTTCATTTGAGCTCATTTTCTTTTGTTCTATTAACTAATACATGCAGTACAAGCTTGTTATACGTATACTTAATAAGCAAGGTCTTAAGGGAAATAATAAAAAACAATTTTGCTATTAATTATATTAAACAATATTTATTTGTAATTTCGTGATAATTATATTTCTTATTACAAAGTAAAGGTATTTGATATAATGTTTGCCTTACAAAAATGTTTCCTTTGTCTTGCCACCATAGGTATTCTATTTTGTCACTTTTTGCGCCCGCCGTGCCATGTATATACCAGACAATTGATATCACATCGAGACAATTGCTCAAATGGTTCCGTTACATATTTTTATTTTATCTCAATTTTTCAATGGGCTGTTTTGCGCCAATTGGAATGGATTTGGTGGCGCGAATAACAATCCTTTTTGTGTACCTTGGAGCGCAATTTCTTGTAATACGTTACATTTATATTGAATTTTACAATGTAACTGGATTCCATAAAATTGGATGGTACATATCAGTATCTATATGGGGCGTATTTTCATTTTTATGGTTAATTGCCCATATAACAACATCCTGGCTCGATGCTGGAAGTACAGAACTATGCCTAGAAAGAAGAAAATTACTGATTAAGGGAAGTCTTCAGGAATTACCACCAGAAATATCGAAGCATAGGAAATGCGAGAAGTGCGGCCTTCCGAAAACAGAACGCACTCATCATTGCAAAACTTGCGGTAAATGCTATTTTAGATTTGATCATCATTGCCCTATAGTTGGTAATTGTATTGCATTACGAAATATGAAAGCATTCGTATTATTCAACATATTTACTGCCATTTTAGTTGTTGATTGCGCATTTAGTTTAATTTTCTACAGACTCAAACAAAATTCAGACTTCAAGGGATTTATGTGGTTTGTGCTCGCTGTTCTCCTCTTCTGCGCAGCATTTGTTGGATTTTTTGGCTTCTCATATTGCTCAAATATTACAAATAACAGAACAACACTTGAGAGAATCGCTAAACTTGATCCACAACGATATGATGTTGGAAAATTTGCTAATGCAAAACAAATTCTTGGCGATAAATGGTATACATGGATTTTTCCTCTTCCAAACAACGTCGATGGCTTTGAATGGGCAGATATGCAAAACAGAGTTTATATAGTTGGAATGCCTTAATTTATTTTTTATAATTTGGATTTACATTGTTTTTCTTAGTCATTTTACGGTACATTATAGTCTTTACATCTCATTAATACCAAACTTGACTGATTTTGAACCACAATTAAGAATTTAATTTTTTCAAGTTACAATATTAGACCTAAGCATCATTATCCATATCAATGGATCAAAATGCTTATATTGAATGCTAATTATTACATTGAACATAACTGTTATATTAAAATATCAATATATTTTTTTGTTTGTATATGCTAAACTCTTGAGTATTTGGAAAACATAATGACTTTTATTGATACATCAAAATTCATCGTTAAAATACTTTCGAATCTCCAATAATTATTTCATTGATATTAAAAATGCTATTGCTCAATGAATTTTAGATAAATTATTTTAAAATTCAGAGTAAATACAACACAAAGAAACAATATGCCATAAAAAGATAAAAATTATAACGGTGCACGTTCAAAAAATGCAAGCAATTGACGTCCTTACACCGAAGAAGATCGAAGAGCTTCAATCAGTGTTCAAAGAGCTTGATACAGATAATACAGGAAAACTAGAGATCCAGTTGGTCGAAAAAGGCTTAAGAACAGCTGGCGCAAATCCAACACAGGACGAAGTTAAAGATATTCTCGAAGATATCAGTGGAAGCAATACTATTTCATTCAATACATTCGCTTATATCTATTTCCACGTTACCCGCGGTCATTCTGTTCAAGAAGATCTTATCGATAGCTTCAGAGCTCTTGATTCCAACGGAATGGGCAAAATCAAATACGATGTTTTCATCAAAACAGTTGATACTCTTCACAGACCTCTTTCAGAAAATGAAATTTCAAATCTCTCTAACAAACTTCATGTTGACAATGGATACATCGATTACACTGAAGCAGTCAAGCTTCTTACAGGCGCTTGGGATGAATGAGATCTATCTTTTTTTTGTAAATATCTCTTTTTTATATACTCTGTGATTTTTTTTAAAATGACAATACATCTCTCATACAAATCTATCACAAAGTTTAGGTGACATACATTGTTATTATCATTAATTACGAAATGTGGAAATTTGAAATTAAATTTCCAAAATCATTTCACATTTCCACTAAAAATGAGACATACTCAAACTTACAAGGCAATTTAGTAATCATTAACCAGAAGATTGGGATTTAAATTAATATGTGAAAAAATATCAAATAAATAACATAATATTATTGCGAAATTCAAAAACAAATCGATAAGAAAATATGTGAATAGAGTTATGAATTGAAAAAATAATATATAAACTTTTATATTTTGATGACACAAACAAAATCAATTAATTAATAAATTAATCGTACTTTCTTTGGATGTATTTTCTCTTCGAAATGAAGAAAATGATATAAGCAACAAATTCAACGACAGAAATCAGCATTAAAACAAAACTAACAACAGTATCTCTGATTACATGGTTATCTTCAACAATTGTTTCGTTTCTAACAGAAGAAAGATCCAAATCTTTAGCTGCAACCAAAATTTGAGCGTTAATATACATCAAATCGTTCTTTGAATTGAAAATCATTGTAGAAAGTGTTGAAGTAAGGTTAGTATATAACAATTCAACGTTAGATTTGATTTCATTCAGCTCAGATTTTGCGAATTCGATCTTTTTAATGGCATTTTCTAAAGAAGGAGCGATACTTAAGGCTATGAACTGTTCAAGGGCCTTCATTCTGATAGAATCTTGTGATCTTTTGATTGCTTCGTTGACAATCAAAAATGCGTCTGTTAAATTCTTTCTTTCTGCGGAAGAGAGGTTACAATTCATATCCTGTGCTTCTTTGGTTAGTTTCTGCATCAATGGCATCAATGCTCTCCTTTTACTCTTCAGTTTTCTCCTTGAAATGAAAATTTTGTCAACTCTTTTACGATTGAAGTTTGTAAAGTTCTCTCTATCGGCTCTGGCTAAGAAATGATCATCTGCGGGCCAAACGCGAACTTGGTGGACGTCTATTTGTTCTGGTTCATTATCTGTTGTTCCGTAGAAAGAAAGATAGCCGTAAGCGACTGTATCATTTGTAACATCTGAATATAAACGATTGAAGTGATCATTTACGAAAATATCGATGTCCATCGAATCATATCGTTTTGAAATGGAAAAGTACGCTGTAGTCTTAGCATTTCGTATTTGCACTCTTCCAATATGATGTTTGTATGCTTCTTTGAACGTTTGATTCTTGAAAAACATCAAATAAATATCAGATTCAAGGGAATAATCGGGTTTCAGATCAATATAAATAGCCCAACCATCCATTGGATAGCTAGGGTCTTGGCAGCATTGCTTGGAATAAAGAACAATAAGCTTTCCACCGCCAACTTCTCCAGTAGCTGAAATATTAAATTCTAATGACCATTCATTGAAGACAAATGGTATACGACTGCAAATCTTGCCACTTTGTTTCGTTAAATTGTGAGTTAATCTAATTTTATTTCCCATATTAGCTGTGTGACCAACCATTGTCCAATTCCCTATCTCATCATAATTCTCTGTCTTGTGCGGTGGTATTAAGCTATAGTACTCATTTGTAGGATTGATTCTTAAACAGAGAAACAAAAACATTTTTGACAGGATTTTGCCAAATTTCAGTACTCCCTTGTAACAGGTCTGAATATGTGTCTTTATGAAATTCGCGCAGGAATTAAATCGAAATTTCGGAATTCCATCTGATTTTTAAATTTCAAAACCTTACTTTTGTCTATCAATGCAATTTCCAATCACCATTGAGCTCTTTCTGATGAGGTTGAATTACGTTACTGCACTATTTTTGCTGAATCGGCTTGAATCGATTATTGTTGAAAAATCATAAGAAAACTAGAGACAGAAATCAGTTTAAAACAGACAAATAAATAATAAAGAATACAACCAACGTTACAGTTCAGCTTGAAGATGGAGCTGATGGCGTTGATAGCTTTTCTTGCTGATAATTTGAGCTTCCAGATTGAGTACTTAAATCAGAACCGATTTGATTTAAGTTGTAAAGGAAAATCGTAATAAATTTCTTCATTTCCGCATGATCATGACATTGGAAGAGGAGATCAGATCTTTGCTGCTTAGAAGCTTTTACAACCATCTCAAAGCATGCTCCTTGCCTTGTATCGAATCTAACTGGGCGTAAATAAACTACATCTGAGTACTTAAAGAGAGTTGATTCTGTTTGTGATCGCATTGTCTTAAATCCCGAAGGAGACAAATTGCATTCGACGCTGCGTCCGCCAAGGAACCCAATGTTTTTATCCTTAAATGAGGATTCAAAAGTTGTTACCTGCTGATCGCTGGATAAAAATGTGTTCCAGCAGTCTCTTCCTTTAACGAGGGCCTCGTAAAAATCTAAAATTTCGAATCGATTATTAGTTGAAATAAAAATTTGCCATTCTCCAATTGGACCAAATGTATTTAAAACAAGTGAGTTAATAGGAAGTGCATCTTCTGCATTTCCAGGTCTAAAGTTTACGAATCCTAAGTGAATAGTGATAAGTGGAGGTTCGAGGGGTTTTACAGATATTTCAAGCCAATATTCGTTAACAGTAACCCATCTGAGAGTTGGCTTCTGCTTTGACTTCTTTAAGTCTGTTGGTGTGTTCATATACCATCCAACTTGAAACATCTTTTTTTTTATTATTTTTGTCAAAAAAATTGATTTTGGATGGATAACAAAATAAAGCTGCCGTATCATTCACTTCACTGCTAAACCAAACACGATATTTGCTATCATCCTATGAATAATTAGGCTTATTATATGAGAAATACATCCACAGATCATATGTAACGACAAATAAAGATTTTTGGATGCATAGTGACCACACACGAATAGAGTTTACTCATATTTATACTTCTTTTCAACCTTTATTACATATTAAATATCGAAATGAAGATCTATCCTATTAAACCATTTGTAATAAGTATTAAAAGATCTAACCCCAGTTTTCTATATTTAAAAACTCTTAATGAGGTTTAGTAATTTGTGAAATATTGTTTATTTTTTTTCTAATACTTGATTTACAAGCACAGAGCAATATAATGGACATAAAAATGCATTTTGAATGCAGTTCATTCACGAGCCAAGCAGATTTCTTTCATACTATCACTACATATCATGAATGGTATTTTTTAATAATAAAATCGAATTTGAATGAACATGAACTACCTTAGAAGTGAATAACAAAAATAATTACATTCATTAAAGGCATTTCGATCCATTTCATTTTCAGAAATATGCCAATTTATACTTTTTTATAGTTTCCGATGCTCTAAATACAAGCTATTGAAAATAGTATTATATTCCTAAAAAATATATATATTTAAAAAATATGTTTTTTTTTTTAAAAAATGCATAGTAAAATTAAGGATGAAACGCGAAACTATAATACCGACACAATGATTACATGTTTTCTTAAGAGGATGAGGATGAATAGAAAGAAGATGATGAATAAGATGAAGAAGATTTCTTCGATTTCTTCTTCTTGCAGCAGCAGCAACAAATGCAGAGGCAAATGATAAGAATAAGGATGAAAACGATGAGGGCAGCAGCTGCAATAAAGCCCCAAATAGGAATTTCAATTGGGCCTGTAAGTGTCCAGAAATTGAAAATTTGGTTTTTATTTGAAATGGAACCAAATACTTGTGGAACATATTTTGGACGGTCAGAAATCTTGTAGCTTATTTTAGAAGAGATTTTGATTGTGTAATCTCCATCTTTTTGCTCTGCTCCAGGGTTCTGTTTATTTGTAACAACAACACTTGAAGAAAATGATTTCTCACCTGAAGATTCCTCTGAAGTGGTTGATTCATTATCATTTGATGTTGATAAAGCTATGATTCCATTTTTTGACAAACCACTCCATTTCAAGTCCATCTTACCACCAACATTGATTGGAACGAAACCGTAAATTATGTCATAGACCTTATTAGATTCACTTACCTCTTTATACGAGGTCTGGAAGGAAAGTTTACTGAACGAGGAATAGTACATGTTAAATTTATCACCTGATTCAAAGGTTAATGAAGGAAGTGCTCCAACGAACACAACTGTCGTTTCTGTGGATTTTTTATTTGTAAGTTTAACTACTGTAGGCTTTGAAGGGGCAAGAGACGCTTCGGAATTAACTGTTTTAATTTCTGAATTACTGGATACACCAGCAAAGCTTGAAGATTCGACAGCGGTTCCATATGCACCATTTTCATAAAAAGAAGCTGCGAGTTTGAGACCTTCTCCGAATATGAAAACTGTTTGGACAGCAAAACACTTTGAAGAGCTACCCCCGATTTGATATGAAGCTTGTTCACCAACATCTACTAAAACGCTTTCAATTGTAGAAGCATTGCATTCTGCAAAAGGAGAGTTAATCCTTGTATCATAAAAGAGTGTACTATTAGAATGAAAAGGTAAAGTGCCAGTAGATAATATGTGTATCATTTGCAATTAACAGAAATTTATTTTCGTAGATAAAAAAAATTGAAATACATTCAAAAGATATAAACCGAATTACAATAAATTTGTCAAGAAATAACATTATTTATTTAATATTATATAAATCTCTAAATTGAATAAAAATTAAGTTTTTGATAGATATAAAAGATATAAGCTGTAAATATTGATTGTTAAAATTCATCGATAATATGAGAAATGTATTACGGTTAGATTTTACATAAATTTTCTTCCAAAATGAAAATCAGTTTATTGGTATTAAAATTTAATAGTTGATAAAAAGCTATATAATATACTGAGTTAATGAGTTAAACTTGGTGGTTATATCGATAGAACATTAAATAGTTTTAATACCGAAGATAAAAAAATAAGGTAAATATCAAGTCTCATCACACTTTTCAATGCTCGATTTTAAAAAACTGTTTAAAAATGGAGCTTATATTGAAATAGTGTAGAGACTAAAAATTACCACAGACTATTTCAGAGGATTGAGTTGCCACTCAATCCTCTGAAAAGTCTGAGGTAATTTGCAAACTTAACGTTTTTATATAATTGAAAGAGTTAATATATAATGTAAACTATAGAAAAGTATAAACATTTTTAGATAAAAACTATAAAATGTGAAGTACATTCAGAGGCATAACAAATTTTAAACTAAATTCTTGAAAAACCGTTGCATATTGAAATATTACTTATGTCAATTTATATATAAGATCATTCTAAGTCATTGCTAGAATTCAAATATCCTATTTACTTTAAAATTTCTTTAATCGCTATCGTCATTCAAAAAATTGCCTTTTCATATCAGAATTTTTCTACTGGCTCTAGCCAGAAAACATTGTTGATTATATATTTATATTTAATCAAATTTCATGTATAGTTAAGGATGCTAAAAGTGGGGAACGATAAGGAAATTGAGAGCTCCCCGGCCCCTCCCGGTGAATCCCCATAGGTTTTTTTAGTCATTTTATTGAAATTTTTATTTTTTTGGAAGGAAAAAATGAAGAAAAAGCGCAATTTATACGAGTAAAATATAAGTATTTTAGCTATTCTAGCTATATACTATGTTTTCTTCTAATTTTAGTAAAAGTGGGGGAATTCAATTTTTTGAGAGAATTGTGGGAAAACCGTTCCCCTTCACTTTGGGTTATGCAAAAACTAGCATTCTGTAATTGATAGAGCCGCAAGAGTATCACTTTGACCGAGGGGGAACTTATCCCCGGAGGTTTGGTGCGGTCAAAAACGATCTTCTAGTTGGACGCATAAAATTTTCAAATTCTGAATTTGCGTCCATGATTCAAATATCGTAATAACCAGCTTAACAAAAATTAAATCACACGTTTTTTGTCTCACGATAGCTTCATTTTATTTATTTTCAATACAAAATCCTTAAAAAAATACTAATCAGCTATGATTATATTCAAATATATAAACAACATTTACTAATTCTTCATGTATTTTGCGCTCTCATCTAAAATTTGGCTTAATGTCATAGAATTTGGGACTTTCTTATGAGTAATGGTATTAAGTTTTTACTAAGCAGACATTTACAAAGCTAAAATTATTTATTTTCAATCTAATGCTTGATCTTTTACCTATAAAAATTCGATAATGAGTGATTTTTTCTTTTTTTAGTCAAAATACAAGTATGAATCTGTAATAAAATTTCATAGTCATATGAACGATGAGAAAGTTATAAGCCAAAAGACTGATAAAAATGTAAAATTAAATTTTATAAGTCTAGTATAGCTCTGAGAATACTTTATCGAAAGTACTCGAGAGCTAAACAAAATTGGCGTTAAGATTAAGGAAACGATGCCCAAGTTTTGGCGAATTAAAATATAGATAATGAAATAAACTTGTTGTACGCTAAATTTATAATGAGACGTCTTTGTTAATGTCTGCTATGTCAAGTTATCCAAGTGGATCTGATGATATATATAGCAGGAATGTATTTTAATTTATAGTTAAAACCGTTTTTATCGTTTTTATTTCATATCACATGGCTGTACCCACAATAAATTTTTCCCCGTCGATTTGTAAAGTTCCCCACTTTTAGCATCCTTAGTATAGTGAATTCAATCATTAAAAAAAAACTAAATTTATAAATTTCCAAATAAAAATACGTAATTAGAATTTCAAAAATTGAGAAATGAGAGTTGTCCCATTTACTCAACCTAAGTCACAAAATCTAAGTAGTGAGGCTCTCAAAAATTGAACCGTACTCCATACAAAATTTGTGTACCCTCACTACTTAGATTTTGTGGCCTTCAATTGAGAGGTTAGTTTTGATAGAGCACGTTATAAAATTAAAAGGGAAAAATAAATAAAATTTAAACGTTTCATTATATATAATGTAAGGAGTGTAATTCCAAATTTTCTAAAAACTATTCAAATTTGAGCATTTTTTTGGAAATAGTAAATCTAATATGTACATCTAATAACAACATGATTCATCACCTTTTCAAGCTCTGCAGTCAATTTTTTGAAATTTGATTGAAATAAATGTAGCAAAAATTACATTTCATTAGGGAATATATGAGTTTCTCTGGAAACAGGCTGATAAATTTTAAATTTTGTCCAATCAACATGAATGCATTGAGAAATTTGGATTGATTTTCTGGTAGAATCTGGAACAATTCAACCATGTATAAATGGATCATGTAATCATCATGAAATGTTAGTGTTAGAGTTCAAAAGAAACAGAATGAGTGGAAATCAAACACAATCTGAATAATTTTAAACGTATACAATCTTTAAGTTTGTATTTTGAATTCTACATATATGATTGTGTAATTCGTTCTTTCAAATTTTCGGATTCAGGCATGTTTTGATAACATTCATTCCCAAAAACGTCAATTAACAATTAAATTTAGTGTATTTTAAATATATATACGTATTATATTTTATAAATTATATTAAATTCGCAAAATTTTAAGTTTTAAACAAAAATAAAAAATGTTCAAAATATGAAATTATGCATAGGATATTAAAATTTACATGTTAGCAATTTTTTTGAATTGCTTTCAATTTTCATATTGAAATTTTTAAGATTTTTTTCTGAAATAATAAGCAAGAATATCAACCTAAATAATATTAAATTCCATGAGTTAATTTCCCCTCAAAAGTCATTGACCGCCTCTCAATCTAGATTTTGTGAGTCCTTTATTACAGGCAACTTAGATGTCTAAGCCTATATTTTTCTAATGACCCATTAAACCTCATATAGTAAAGTCAAGGGCAGATGAATTTTGTTCCAACAATTTAAGAATTTTTAATTCACAATAAAATTTGAACCTATAACAAATACCAAAATTTAGCTCAAACTTCAAAAACGATTTTCAAATAAATACATTCCACCCCAATTGTTATTCATTGTTGGAGTTCATGTCATGGCGTAGTTTTGCGTCATATCTTTCATGATATCTCTCCTAAATCTTTACTGAGTTTCAATGTTTGGGATTATCTCACATACTTTCCTAAAATCTAAAAAAATTGATAACTTTACACAGTAATTCAATCGTTCAAAAAAAAATCATTTGAAATCACAAGTATGCTATGAGTTATGGATTCAAATCAACAATAGAGAAGAGTTTCCACCTTAAATCAATCGAATCTATATAAGTAATTGTGTATTTGATACCCTATATTTCCAACTCTTGGAAAATTTTCATGACCCCCTACCCAGGGTCCTAAAATGGGTATTTTCCTCACACAGACACCGTGGTTTTTTGAGCCTGGAAATAAATAGCGCAGACAGTTTCTACATATAGAGACATGCTTATACTTAGAGTTTGACGGGAATCTAAAGTGATTTTTTTCTGCATCGCGAAATCTAATGCAATCTCAAAATCATGAAGAAACTGCGAATCGGAGCGCAATTTTTTAATATGTTAATATATAAAGGTACCCCTACTACTGCAAATGCTTCAAATGAAAATCTAAGAAATCAGATTAATTTGATCACATTAGTATAGTATTGGTCAAACCAAAAACTCATATGTTGATATATAGCCTATAGATATTCATATTATCTACTTTTCATTGAATTACATAAGATTTAATAATCTCATAAATATTCTTTTTAATTTTCCGAATTCCGTGTGCATTTAGATTGCCTATACCTGTATATAATAATTCTAGAATGGTTTGGTTAGATATTAAGTTTTTTAGATTAATATTTTAACATTTCGATAAAACATGCATTTGTTCCATTTTAGAATCGCCATTGAACTCTGGTTTGACTAACATGATGTTGTATGATCAAATAAATTCTAACTTCATGAGATAAATTTTGAAATTAGAAAATGCGATATCTGACTCAAATATTTATCTGAACACATTTAACATTCAATGATAAACTAAAGTACTATACAGCAGATTCGATTTGGCTTATATTTTATATAATCAACTAAGAATCCTATAAAATTGTGCTATTCACGTTGCTCAAAGATGTATTGAACATTCACTACTTGTGTATTGATAAAATTAGATATAGATTCTAATGTAAATCGATATTTTGAAAATTCATATATATTTTGTCTTGGTTTGGCATTTGATCGTGTTGAAACCGGAATTGCAATATATATCATCTAAATATATAACTATCAAAATATGAGCTATAGATTTTTAAATTATTCTCCTGAATATGAGTGACTAACATAATTATATTGAATTGAGTAGTAAGAATCTTAAATATTAGAATCTGACGATAATTTATTATAACTGTATAAAGGAACAAGACTATAAATGATGATGAAAATAAAGATTAAATTTAAATCTGAAAATTTGAAAACATTAAGTGTATTGTGCACTCTTGTCGGTCACAGTGTCTCATTCCGGGAGACATTGCCTCTGCATGTCTCCCAGAATGATATCAAGTTCCCCATTCATAACTTGAATGCGAAACTTTGACCGACAAGAGTGTATTGTGCACTCTTGTCGGTTGAAAGTTCTGCAATCAGAAGAAGATTGTTGAACAATCCGCCATTCCAGGAGGCATGAGCTTGTTATGTCTCCTGAAATGGCACATATTTGATAATTCATGGACCAGAACTTTGCACGCAATCAGACAAAAGATTGCGACAGAGTAACTGGGAAGACAGCAACTTGAAGCGATAAGCTGCTTGGGTGCTGTCTCCCAGATGCATCTGTCGGGCAAAGTCTCAAAGGAGCAGAACTTTGCACGCAATCAGACAAAAGATTGCGACAGAGTAACTGGGAAGACAGCAACTTGAAGCGATAAGCTGCTTGGGTGCTGTCTCCCAGATGCATCTGTCGGGCAAAGTCTCAAAGGAGCAGAACTTTGCACGCAATCAGACAAAAGATTGCGACAGAGTAACTGGGAAGACAGCAACTTGAAGCGAAGTTTTGTTTTCGAGTCTTTGGTTAAGAAATCTTAACAAAAAAAAAAGAAAAAAATCAGATAAAGTTGTCAATAACTTCATCAGTTAATGCTCACCTATGGGAGGTGTTTTGCGGGAGCTGGGGGTATCTTGGTGAGTACTCAGGAGGCCAAGAAGGGCACCCCAACCGACATTATCCTGATGAATTCAGTTGTCAACCATTCTGAAAACCGCCGAAACCGTCGTGTGTAGAGAAATTGTTTAAATTTATTTTTTTTCAGATTTAAATAAAAATAAGAAATGTTTACTATTATGGATTTTGAAATTTTTTTAAATTAAGAGTAGGAGATGAGACAAATTTAAATTTTTAAGAAATATTTGGAATAAGGGTTTCGTTTTGCTAAAATTGTCACTTTTATAGCATATTTGTTTTTGGATGTTTTGCGAAACCAAAAAAAAAAAAAAAACTATGATATACAATGTGTGTGTAAAGAAAATACTTTATTTACTAGTTAAAAAATCATTTGGTATTGATCAAGTTATTTTTTCTGGATAAGATATTATATGGATAATTGGATAGAAAATACAATTATATAATCTTGTACCTGGTTTAATTAAGCTAATTGTCATCAGAAACTTGTAATTTTTATGAATTTCAGATTTTCTTTTCATTACTGCTTTTCTTAATAGGTCAAGTTCTTATTTACGTTATAAAGTATGATATTTACAAATATCAAGTTATCATGTTTTTTGAGAAATTATGAGAAACAAACAAAAATGAAAAAGATAGGAATAGCAATGAATAGTGATGTGGGTATAGAAAATGTAAGAGATATGAATGCAAAGCAATCAGTATTTAGGACATTGACCATAGATTTCGAAAAAAAAATGCTGCATATTGAGCGAAAACTATGATTATATTATAAGGCTGTCATTTAAAGCATAATGAAACTATTCCCTTTTCATTTTAATCGAATAAGATAGTAAAGATTTTTGAATTAGCTAGAAACTGATGAGATGTTTTCACAAATCAGATTTTTAATCTCTATAATGCATAATTCGCTCAATATCTCAATTTTGATATTGCGAGATATTTTTGCTATCGGTTTCGCAATTTTGACACAATAGCAAGAGGGTTCTATAAGCATTATTATCAACGTAGAATCTGAATATCATATCAGAAAATGTCGCAAATCTGACATTTACCCGACCAAATAGCAAAAATAATTGAATACTTTTCGCAAAAACTTTAAAAATCGATAAAAATATGAAATATAGATATTAAAGAGACTTTTTATATAATATTCATAAAGATTTTCCAAAAATATGATACCGCAAAATTAAAAAAGTGACGTCTTGAGTGGAGTCAAAGGTCGAAATTGCTAGCTAAATGTTTTTTTAGCGAAATTGCGTATTGTACGTTTTTTTCGCAAAACGAAACCCTTATTTGGAAGGGCGTAAGATACGCCAACTTAAATATATTATCAAATGAGAGAAAATCACTCAACAAAAAAACAATTCTTTCAAAAAGTTTGACATTGATCTTTCTAATACATATTTTTGGAAGGGCGTAAGATACGCCAACTTAAATATATTATTAAATATGAGAAAATCACTCAACAAAAAAACAATTCTTTCAAAAAGTTTGACATTGATCTTTCTAATACATATTTTTGGAAGGGCGTAAGATATGCCAACTTAAATATATTATCAAATGAGAGAAAATCACTCAACAAAAAAACAATTCTTTCAAAAAGTTTGACATTGATCTTTCTAATACATATCCTATGGAAGGAGTTTACATTCTCAAAATAAAAACCAGTTCAAAATCTTATTATTCCTTGAATAAAAATCATTTAATTTCAAATCCATTCCAAATCCTTAAATCTGTATTAAAATCATTTTGCCAACAACCAATACAATACAAATTACATTTCCATATATCTTCTTGTCCATTTTAATTTTTTATCTCATTTTATTTAATTTTATTTAAAGCATATAGACATCGAGATCCTTTACACATAGTTATATAAAAGTCAAATACATAATAAATTCTTAATTCTAGAGATATCTCAAAATCTCATTTTTGTAATTTAAAATACCTTTCATTTTTCACAGTACGATCACAACAAACAAGCCATTTACTAATTAACACATATAAGAAAAATATCAAATTACAAAACAACTTTCAATATCATTCGCATCAAATTCTATTTTTTCATAATTATCAACTACATGTTATTATATAATATATGTCGGCGCATATTCCACTCTATACAAGTGTCAGACACACTCACACAAAGCTGTGAGATTCATACCTCTATCAGTAGGACTTCTCAAATCAAGAACACATATGTTTCACTATCGCACATCTGTGTAGGATCTAATTAACCCTTTGGACTGGTACTTCAAAATTTGATAATTTGATAATTTCATGTGATATCATCATTTGCCTTTAAAACAACTGTGCGTTAAACTAGACACGTTTCTCTATCATAATGCAAAATATCAAAGTTTGGGAGATTCCCAAAGTGTCTGAAACTGATCATAAGGGTGAAAAACCGTTTTCCAGAAGTTGGGAACGTAGGGTATCAACAAAAGAATTTTATAAATAATATTCTCCATCCATTTCGTTTTATCTATTGCGTTTGTAACTTAAATCTATTTGTATTATTTATATTTTTCAAAATTCAAAAAAATATTTCATTTTTATTGAAATGTTAATTGTAGTAAATAAGCTCTATGTATTCAAAACCTTTTCATTATACCAAGCATAATAGTTCGAATAAGGAAGAAATATGAATTTTCCTCAAAAGATGGAGATAATCTTCTCCTAAGGTTAATATTTTCTGTAGCAATCATAATAGTTATAGAAACAATCATTTAATTTAACTTCCAAAATTACTCATTCAAAAAACGGTTTTTTATATCGTCAAATATTTGCCGCAAAACATGGATAAATATAACTATTTTCCAAGCGATCACGTCTTTACCCTAATTTAAGGTATTTCCTGTATGTATCCACAAGAATAAACAAAAATTAATGCAGGAGTTAATGTTCCCGGCATCATTGTAAATTTCAGAATAATTGAATAGTTGTAGACAGTTGGCGCAAAATGGAGGCGCCAAGCTATGTGAGTTCACTTCTGGGCGATGTTCAACGAAGAAGATGATATTTACTTCGACTTTGATGTAGTATCATCTCCGTTGACTTCGTGTGATTGCTTCCCAAGCACAAGCCTTACAGTCGAACTTCCTAACAATTCGTTTTTTAACGATAACTGCCATAACCCATCCTATGACTCATGCTGCCGAAAGGATCTATCTTCATTCAACAACTCTAATAATGAATTGTTCCAAAGGGTAGATTCTATGCCTGAAATTAGCTTACCAAATAATGACTACCCGTCATTCTCTGTATTTCAGGCCAAAATGAGTTCTCCTGTGAAGCCAAAGGTATGTCGAAAGCAGTCGGTGGTTTTTCAGCCATTTGCTTCATTCGATGCTACCGAATTAACTGTCAAGGCTCTCCAAAAGACCACTTTTTCTTTACAAAAGCAAACAATCCTTAATTGGTAAGTTTGCTCCAATTATTTTAGTAATTAATTGTTTAATTAAAAATTATTAAGAATTATTCGGATTGACTCTATGTTTTAGTAATATGTAACAATTCAATCTATCTCATTTAAATTATATAGTGTTTGAAATATATTTTGATAGATTTATTAAAGATCGAAATGGAACTAATCCTCCAATTCTGTTCTATTTGTCGCCGTGATGAATATAAACAAATGCCTAGTTTATGAAATTAATAATAATTGAAATAGTTCCAATGAAAGGCAAGTGTGAAGTAAAAGAAAAATTTTTTATTTCATCTTTGTCTTTGGTTTGGTATTGCTTTACATACTTCGAATACCAAAGAATTGTTATCATTCTAAATGCAATCTTGTGGGGAAGCAGAAACACAACAAGTTTCGAAAAATGACAACAATATAATTTAAATATATTTAAAGGAGACTTTAAATTAATCAATCAATGCTGTATCAACAAGCGATTAAAATTTTAAGTAAAATTAGGATGTATCGTTTCAACAACAGTTCATTTTATTTCAAAATCATAAAAGATAAAATAATTTACTAAAATTAATAATAATTATTAAATTTTATATCTAATTCCAGTATCAAAATACCAGCAAAACGCTTATAATTTATTATTTTTAATAATCAGATAGTTTTAAATTGAATTATATTAATTTGAATTAAACTATATTATTAATTGTCAAAGTAATTATGTTGAATTATAATTTTTTTCTCCTCAAATTATTTGACTTTCTTTGATAACAAAAGTTGTGAAATTTTCATGAAATTTAGTTTAAATACCAAGCACTGTGAGTCATGCTGCATTGAAAAATGTAAAATCTTTATGAATTTTCTGAAAGAATACGTTATTTATTTTTTGTTATATTTTCCTTTTAAAAATCAATTCGTTCTAATGATGCAAATATTTTTTCATGGTTAAAATTTTGAATTTTTGTATTAGCTTTCAAAATTTTTTCGTTTTCAACTTTAGGTTATCTAGGAAATTGATATCGGTATAAAACTTAAAAGAGTCAAGTTATCAAAATGTTATCTTTACAAAGAATTTGATAAAGAGAAAATATGACTTTGATGATCTGATATTGCAAATGATTTAATGAGAATGATATCTAATTCTGTATATGTGCTGATGTATAAACAGATGGAATTTTTAGAAAATTTAAATTTTTAAGAAAAAAAATAATTAATTAAAGATTTAAATAGGAACAAATATACCAGTATACATCAATTACTAGTAGCTAATTCAATTGATCTTAGATTGTATCTTATGATTCCACATTAATAAAATAATCAAAGCAATCCTCGTCGTTATCATTGTAATTACACGAGTCAATCATATCTCTATTTTTATTGGAATTCTTGTTTGTTAAAATTGAAATATTATCTGGTATTTTGATTGTTCTATTAATTTGGTATAGATTGCGATAGGCATCATTTAACTTATCATTAAGGAAATTCCAATTTTCGCAAAACCAGCATATAAGTCCTTCCGTTTGGCGCTTTGCGCTTCGATCCAGATTGACGTTGATTTGTTTTGACAATTCATTTGCCAAATTCAGGAGCCCTATTCTACCATTGCAATTGGGTAGTGAAAACAAAAATTTACTGAGTTCGTAGTACAATTGTCCTGCAAGCCTGCGGCGAGAGTCAATTTTGGACCTAATGAGAAGATATTCTTTGCTCTCATTCCGTCCATATTTATGTGTCTGAATCACAACCATATTGCCTAGACTCATGCAAAATAATTATTCCACTAATGAGATAACTATTCAAAATTTCAATGAATTCGATGAAATAAAATTCATTAAAAATCCAAGGAAAATCCACAGCATATTAGAAATGCATACTAATTGTTTTCTTAATTCTATCAAAAAATGTAAATCTAACCACTTTTTGATTTAAGTTCTCAAATTATTTGTGAGTTCCGATTAAAATTGAAATCGTAAGTTGTGAATATTTCAGGCTATAAAGCTTTTGATCAATTTTTATCATAATTTTATTTTTAAATCTGAATTATATTATTCATATCATATATCAATATTGATATTCTAAAAAATTAGGCAAAGTGGCAATAATTGAACTACATTGCTTGTAGATGCAGGTAATATTGTTGGAAGATAGCATAATCTCATGGGTTTTAAAAATTATTTCTCAATTTTTTAAAAATATTCCATCAAATGATGAATATAATCTGAATAACATAATGAGAATAATTCAAGTGTGGTATGTTCAATGTTTTGCCTTTCGAAAAGAACTCAATTTTAAAAATAATTCAAAATAAAAATGTGACTATAATTTCGATTTTGTAATAATATTACTGCTAATGAGATAGTTTTCAATATGATTAATCATAATATATTAATTTTTGTGGTGTTTTTCAGAGAAATCTTTTGAAATAAAGCAAATAATATAGATAATAGGATATTTTGTAATTTTATGCAGCCTTGAAAACCCGTAACTTTCTATGGTGCTTGCAACAAAAGAATTCATAAAAACCTCAGGTCGTGCTCTTAATTATCAAAGAAAAATTGAAAAGAGTTCTCAAATTGAAATGGTCCAATGTCTTATTTTAAAATAAAAATGAATAATATTATTTAACACCAGTATAAGAATATAATGAATTTTATGCAGAAGAGATACTATTGAATTAGTGTTTACCACCAAAGTCATAATTAATAACATGATCATAATATCTATATGTATCATTTTCAACTTGAAATCGATAATGGCTTTTTGGCTATTTTTTATATGGATAAACATTTGGGAAATCCTTATTCTCATTATCCCGATTGAGAAATTGAATATTTCATCAATCAATCACAAGATAAAAATATTTATTGTATAGAGGCTTAATGAATTCTACGAATACATTGGTCAAATTGGCTGACATCTAGTTTTTCATGATCTCTTTGGCGATTATTGGTAATACGATAATTTTTATTTATCCAATGTCAAATTAGATTTAGAACTCAGGTAGCCATTCAGCATCACAATATTTTTATGGAATATAAAAAGATCACATATCAAAAATGTTTTAATATTTTATAACTTTTGATAAGTAATAACTTCGACTTTCAATATAAGTTCAGTCCATGTGTAAAATTGGAAATTATCAAGGTAAGTACTATGCAAATATTCCATGAAATCTATCTTCCAGCTAAATTCTTACTTGTGCACTTATCTTCGTTGTATTATACTAAACAGTTTGAACACAACTTAAATGAGAACTCACCTACGAAATTTAATCAAAAAAATCATTGAAAATGCCCCTAAGGACGATCACTGATAGAATTTACATTAAATCATTCTGTACATTTCATTCCTTGATTGAAATCATTATAATAAAATCAAGACCATCTAACGATAAATAGGGGCAAAAAGAAAAAAAAGTTTATTTTTTTCTTCGTTTATTCTCTTCGGTCTGTGCTGAGCATGGGTAGTGAGCCTGAACCTGACTACCTGAGCTTTCTAAGAGATGAAGATAAATGTCAATTTGTCGAATTACGAAAGATGTTTACCTCAGAAGATTACAATTTTTCTGATCAAAATCCTTTCTTCGAAATCATGTCGATAATAAAAGATTTTTCGATTCGCAATAACGAAGATGATGCTAGGCGATGCGCAGTTTGCGGACTATGTTGGCTGAAAACCTCGCTAGGAGTTAATGAATGCCATTTAACGTATTTAACAGGTCAACCGAAAGTGACTATTAGAAACGAGCTAACTAGACTGAACTATATGCCAACTCTGTTTACAAATGAAATCATTCTAAAAATCCCTTATCTGGAAGGAAATATTCCAGAATTGAGGCTTTGGTCTTTCCGTAAAAATCCATCTGGGACACAGTTAGCCGTATCGATGGCGCGCAAAACCTTCAAAACTCAATCACCAAAGCCTCATACTCCAAGTGAGCTTCTTTTCCAAAAGAACTGGAGCTACGAAGACTTTGAGACATATTTGTCTGATTCCCCAGCCAATCCTATGAAAATGGGGGATGAATTCTTTGATGATGTGTTTCTCCTTCCTTTTAGCGATTGGAAGAAGAATCAACCTTCATCAGATGTTTCTATACTACCCCCATTTTAATCCGGTTTTATTGTTTGTTAATTATTACGGTTTTTTTATTTAATTTTTTTAAAACTAGTAATATTATTATGAAATTCAGATTATCCTTTTCGAAAACTTTTAGTTCTCATTTGAAACTTGAAGTTTCTGTTTAACATTTTTGGCAAAAAAATTAATTTATGCATTTCAAAGCTATTATTTTCGACGAAATGGTTTTAAATGTGATGTTAGATCTTTTCTAATGTTGTCGTTTGATGGATCATTCCCAACTTTTTGGGGTGTCACTTTTTAGTGATGAGCGAAACTTATCAAGTTCACTTTAAAATTCTCGGAAATCCTAATATAGAAACGCTTGACCTCCCATCAGATTGTGGATTGGATACTGTTAAAACATTAGTTTCTGATTTTTGTCAAATTCCAATTGAAGATATGAGAATTCTTTTCAAAGGACGCGCATTCAGGCCAGCCGACACATTGCAATCGCTTGGAGTTAAAAATGATGACACTCTCATTGTAGTTCCAAATAGAAAGAACAATCCACCACCAGCTTCTGACCCTCCAGCTGCCCCAATTCCACCTGCACCAGCTGCACCTCAACAAACACAGCAAAATACACAACCAACAGCACCAGCACCTCCACCACAGCAGCAAGAAAACAGAAACCAAGCCGCACAGACAGAATCTCAACAGACAAGAGATCTTAGAAAGCAATTAGCTCAAATTCAGAAAGTCATTGCATCAGTAAATACGTCAATTGTTGAATTGCAATCAAAATTAACAGATCAAAATATAAATCAAATTAATGACGATATCACAAACCTCAAAGCTAAAATAGATACATCTGTTCATTCATTACAAGAACTATCATCCGGTTTATCAGTAAATCAACCACAAAATGCTCCACAAGCCCCACAAACACAAACAACAAATCCAGACGTAGAAGAGTTCGTTCCGAGAAGAGAAGCACCAGCAAATAATGGCAGACCACAAATGCCTCCAATTCAAAATATTTTGGGTTCATTATTCGGAGGAAACAGAGCAGCTAATAATGCTCAAGCTCCTCAAGCCCAACAAGATGCAAATACTACAGAATTATTGTTCACTCCTGAACAAAACGCGATTATTAGTGCAGATGTAGCGAAAATTAACCAGGAAGGATATATTAGATGCACCCATGAGACATATAGAGCAACGTATATTTATTCTCAAACATCCGATCTTTAGAATAAAGCCTATATTATATTTTATTTTTCAACTGATAAAATTAAACAAATTCCAAGGTTGTATGTATCATGCAACTTATTGTATATTTCTTTTTCAATTGAATCTAAAAATTAACAAAAATATTTGATTTCATCTTCGAATAATGAAATTTACTACTCGGAACAGGTATGGTTGAACTGTATGTGTACACAAGAAATCAAAATTGGTTTCTTCCTAATTCCAGTGGAGACAAGTGGAGCCAAAACGATAAAATGTGGTTCGAGATTTTGGTTCATATGATTCTAATGACATATGAATAGGCCATTCCAATCTGAACTTAATTCCCTAGGAAAATGAGTTTTGTGGTTGATATTTAAAATATTTCAGATTCGAATTGTATTATTCTGGATGTTCTTCCTTGTAAATGTGTTTTATAATGTAAGTTTAATCTATTGTTAAAAGAGATATTGTTTTAATGCCATTTCATTTAATTTCTTTCAAAAAAAAATTCAAAATTTTCAAATTTTGAATTTTTTTGGTTTATTATGGGGATATTAGAGAAGTTTCTTTCGATTCTTTCCAAAAGAAGCAAAGATGACAACTCTATATCATCCCAAATAACAAATTCCGTGGCAGGAATGCTTGTAAAAGCGTTCATTTGCGATGAAGATCTACTCGGAAGATTTGGAATACCATTTAAAGTAGAGCACAGTATGATTTCGGATATAAAGTTTATAAACAGCGGACAAAATGGAAACGAAAAGCCAAAAATTTCAATTGAAAATGTTAATTTATCAATATTCGCTGATTATTTTCAAGATAATACTACAAAAGAACAGTTCGATATGCCAGATTACGATCTAGTTATTAACAATTTATCAATCTCGGTTATTTCAAACGAAAATAAAAAAATAATTGAATTAGTAGGCAACAATGTTCAATTTTTCTATCGTATTGGAACAACCACTCTCATACAATTCGAAAGATTCCATTTATTCAATGATTCTCGTTCAATAATCAACCTTGAAAATCTGAATTTCGAAATGGATTCAGAATTTACTTTCGTCATTAAGCTAAATGAAGCAAAGATGGCTTTAGAACACCTCCAAGCTATACTTCTCCATTCAACTTTCAAAGATTTCTTCAAACATCACAGTATCACGTTTAACATCAATCAACTGGAAGCGGACATAGATTATTCATCAAGCGTTATATTCAAAGACTTCATTTTCAAGTATACAGATAAAATAGAATTCAGTTCATCAGAAATTTCAATAAATATTTCATCTTACATGTTTACAATCGAAAATACTGTATTAAAAGGCGATATTCTTACATTACAGAACTTCATTTCCAATTCAAAACAGCTAATTATTACAAAATTAACCGAAATTCCTTTTTGTCAAGTTTCAATTGGGGAATCGTTCAAAGTAAAGATACCTTCACTCAAAATTGAGTCCACAATCAAGTACGTTCATGATTTCAAGAAAACAATTACGAATAATTCGATAATTTCGTTGTTGAATCAGATTCATTTCATCATTGAGAAGTTTAATGTCGAGTTTCTGATCAATGATAAAGAAGACATCTTCCATTTGAATGGAAACGTCACTGCAAATTTAGATACGAAAAATTTCGAATTAAACATCGATGATTTTGTGCTCAGATGCAACAATGGATATCCTATAGTATCAGGAATCTATTTCCATATAAACCAAAAAGAAAATTCAAGATTAAATATACAAATCCCTAAAACAGAAGTATTTCTGATATATCAGGAGGTCGATGGGTTCCTAAGGATACTAAATGGAGCTCGCGAGCTAATAGATTTCTCTGCTTTGGACATTCCACCGAAAATCAGTTTTAATAACCTTTATTTCTACTTGTGCTTTGAAATTCTTAAGAACGAACGAAAGCCAGCCATCAATGTCTCCTTTAAATTCCATAAAATTGAGTTTTCCAAGCTAAATCATATGAAAGTTCGTTTGGTCTTCGAATTTCAGTCCGCTTTCTACAATATTGCCACTTCCAAAGAGAATATCATCCTTTCTCCGACGAAAATCGAGTCTTCTTTCTCATTAGATCAAAAAACTAAAGATTTAGTGATAGATTTCGGAAAATTGAACTTCTATTTGAGCTTGTCTGGCCTTAGACTCCTCAATAAGTGCATTACTCAGCCTGTTCTCCATCAAAATCCCTCATGTTTAGTTATAAATGACACTGTTGAGCCTATTTTCATCTCCGGTACTGACGGACAGCGAATACTAATTGAATCACAGAAGAAAGTTCAGTTCAGTTCGACCAAAATGACACTTTACAAAGATGAAAAAGAATTAACTTACACTTTGTCCGAAATCTCGTTCCCTATGTTCGTTTGGCCGAACTGTATCATGTCAGTGAGTTCCGAAAACTGCGTAAAGATCATCCATTTCGTTTCTTTGTTCATTATCGAAAATAGTTTATGTACAAGAATCTTTTTACATAGCAAGAACTACCTCAACAGGCAGTTAATAACCTTCATTGACCCCGGCTGCAGGGTTCCGATCTCTTATTTGGACAAAACAGCAAGTTTTTACTTTTCTGGTGATGAAAAAGTGGCTTCTAGGGCACATTCCTTCAATATCTTGGATCGCCAAGACTTAATTTACGCTCTCCCTACAAAAAATGGCGAAATGCAGGTTATGATCAAAACATTCCAGGATAATTTGACAAAATCAATGATAATACATGTCAGATCCAGGTTGCAGTTGGTAAATAACGTGCCAAATGACCTTTTATTCGTTGCTTTTAATGATATATACCAAACAACTAAAGTTCTGAAGCCAGGAGAATCCGAATTCATATCGATTTCGACTTCTTCAGCTCTGGAAGCCATATATTTGATACTCAGCGACGTTATTGATGGCCACAGATCAAGACAAACACGAATTAGCCTCACAACATCAGAACCACAAGAAGTTTTGATAGACAACAACAGGTTTTACGTACAATACAATGAGGAAAAGCTAGTTCTCAGTGTTTTCTGCTCAATTTACGTGAAGAATAAGACATTACTTCCAATTACAATGAAAGGAAACAACGGAAACATCCTTGTACCTCTTAAATCCGATCTAATGATCCCGAGCGATAGATACATGCTCCCTCATTCAAGTTTCATAATCAGATTGAATGATTCACCAGTAAAAGTGACAACGACGGTTGAAGTTGATGTAAACTACACAATTCAGGTGACAACATATACCAAGAACAATACTAAGTTCGTTGAATTCCAGGACTTATTTATTATCAGTAATAAGCTGAAAATTGGATTTTCAATAATTGCGATGACCGAACAAAGAGTTTCTCCTGACGAAACTACACCATTGAGAATATTTGGAGATAGGACAAATGGTTTCTCGCTCAAAGTTGGCGAATACTACAGCGCAAACGTATTTTGTCTTACATCTCCTTGTGCAACTACATTACAGCTAATGTATAATGATAACAGGATGTTGGTTGACTTAACAATCGTCGAAAATGAAGGAACGATGATTGCTACGATATCAAATCCAAGATCTCGGCCGAGATTTGCAATTGTCAACGACACTGAGTTTGATTTATTCGCTCAGCAACTTGAAGAAGTCATGCCACTACTTATTGAGCCTCATTCCAGCTCAATTTATGGATTTGATACTCCAAGTACTTCAACTGAAGTTATTTTAACAATTGAAGGTATTTCTAACTCTGTAGATTTCAGTAGCACTCAATTCTCCTCATTTTTCTCACGAAAAATTGCGAATACAAGAATTTATGTGAGTGTTTACACGACAGAATGCGGTGTAAGGATTATGTACGTCGGCGGACAGTATGTACAGCCAGAATTAGATGTTTCAATCAGAATTATCGTTCCAAACATCACATTAAATTTAGTCAACGAAGATTTAGTTTCTTTCATCGGATTCAGTCTTTCAGACATCAACTGCAGCTTGGCGAGATCTCATCTCTCAATTCTGTCTACACTCAATATCGCAAAACTCCAGATAGATGACCATATAAATGATAAAACAGTGTTGGTAACTAATGGACACTATTTTATTAATTTTGCCGGCCAATTTGCCACTTTTCCACCTTCAATTGAAAATATGACAGAATTTTCGTTAGCACTAGGAAAGATATATTTCGGACTAGAAGAGAAATATATGTTCAGTGCTTTCGAATATTTCAAAGTTTTGTATGATATTCTTCCGAAATTGCCAAAGGAAAGGAGATTGTATATCATGTCATCGAGCATTTCGCCTACAGAAATCGAAGGAAGGATCGAGAAAGCTCCAGAAGAGTCAACTCGGCAAATTGTTTATCTTCATAACTCATTGCCTGTATCTTTGAAGGGATTCCTACCTGGAATAAGCGTTAAGACATTTTGCGGATCATTCGAGACGTTCATATCTATCCTTTATAACATGACTGTCAACTTTTATGATAATATGAACAGATCTCTCCAAAATCCGCCACAATCCCAAGCTAAATATGAAATGAGCATCCCATACGCCGATGTCAATGGCTTCGAAGAGCTCAAAGGCTTCATAGAACAGCCATTTGACCCATTAGTTGGCAATTACTTGATGTTTAACGGATTCCCACAGAACAAGCAGGTTGTTGTGAAGACAATATCCACGTTTTCGCAGGTAAAAGTCGGCCAATTATATGATAATTCGATCCAAGAATTTCCAAGTATTCTTTCCGAGACTCCTACAATAACTAAACAGTTATCCTTCCCAATGGGAACAATTAAGCTCATGGCTCCTGAAGAAAGACTGATGTCTCGAAGCGAAATCCCTGCAACAAAGAAAAGAGGACAACTTAGAGCTGCTTTTAACTTCAGAAATGGAGTTTTGGCTGTGTACAAGAAGTGCGTTGTTACGAGGATTGACGAGAAAGAAATCGAATACGCGAAGTCATCGATAAGAAACATCACGAGAGATGGAGTTTTCCTGAAAATGGAAGGATTGAAACCAAAGGATCCAACGTTTTCTATCGAGTTTTGTTGTGTTGATGATGTTGAAGTTCCTTTCAACATCTTAAGATCTATATCTTTAGAGTATGAATCAAACTATTTTATTGTTTAAAAAAAAGTTATATTTCTAGATTTTTTATATTTTTTCTTATTATAAAACAATGATTGTTTCTTCTCTCGCCATCAAAGAACAACTCTATCCTTCTCTTCTGGAGTAGATCCTTTGTGAAAAGCACAACATAATGAAAGAGCATTTATAATTCTTCTTAGAGGAAATGTCAGACAAAGAAATGAAGTGTGTAAATTTGGTTTTACAGAAAGATAATCATTTTCTAAATTCAAGCGAGTTTAAAAATAATGTAGAAGCATAACCAATGATAGAAAAAAGGCATACACTTACCCTAATAAGTGAATGGATGTGTGTTGAATTATTTGTGCCATTATGTTGTTTGTGTAATGTGAATTGTTTCATATTTCCAGCCAATTGCTCAATTGAGTTTTGATATCAAAAGCTAAAGAAAGCTAAACTAGCCAACTCATCCAATACATATGGATTTGAATCACAAAGCATCAATAAGATTTAGCATTTTCTAAAAAAATAAAATTTTAAAATATTTATTTCAATAAAGAGGGGATATCTAGTGGATATGAGTCTCATATATGAGTATGATATTAGACTAGGAAGATTTGCTAGTTTCATTCATAAAAAAAATCAAGTCATATTAATATCGAATATTGAAGATTACTGGAATCAAATTAAGTTATGTATACTTAGTGAAATGAGAAAGATACATATAATGATACACTTGTGCATTAATCTTATGAAATGAAAATTTGAGATTACTCATGATAGCGAATGGCGAGGATATATTACATCTATGTATCTTGTGAAATATATGTACAAAGGCGAAGTAAGCATATCTAAGAAGTTAAAAAAGATATTGGATTGAGGTTTCAAGGGTTTAGCGTCATTCGAAATAAGAATTGGTACTGAATTATATTGATCAAGCAATTTTCTTAGAAATGGTTGCCTCAAAATATATCCAATGATGTTGGAAATTTAATTTGCAATTTTTATCACAAAAAAATAGTATTTTTGAAATATATATCTATTTGTAATATTCTATATGATATTTACGAATTTTAAAAAGCAGATTTGAGACATGCAATTTGATTCATCATTCGATATTATAGGGAAATTCAAATATGTTGATTTTAAGCTCCCTCGGTCGATTGAATTGAAATCAATTTGATCTGTAATAAAATAATGTAAATTTTTCTATATCGTTTAGATTGAATTATGTATAATACAATATTATTTTTCAAGTTTAATTTGATTTGAGAAAAAAAATTTTGAGAGCATGATGAAAACTTGTATAAAAATAAACAAGATATGTTACAGAATTGTCAACTAATGCGTTATATAAGAAGATATTTTGTTGATTCATTGAAAAAAAACAGCTGTTTTCTCTGAAAAGATTCAGATTGACACGTTTTTTGGACATTTCTCATCGGCAGTTTTTGATAAAAGAATACTTTGTTTTATCAGAAACAGATCATGATATAATAACTTTCTGCGAGCTTCTCAAAATTTTCAATCAAACGTTTTCTCAGATTTCGAACGTAATCCAACAAAATGGCTTCTTTCGATCTCTATCATCCCATCAATGAAAAGGAAGACTTTTCAGATGCGGATTGCCTCGAATTAGAAGTATTTATGGAAAGTAAAAAATTATATATTAGATCCAAGCTAAACGAAATCCCCGTCTTCGAAATTGAGGGCGATTACACAGATCCGATGATATCTAGCATCATTGAGTCAATTCACTTTGGCATTTTAAGCGACAAGATTTGTGAATTGTTCGAAGGCTGTTCATCTTCCACCATTACTCCTGCTGTTAAGTGCACAATATTTGATGAGAGGAACCCCCAAGGCAATAATTCCGTTGTCTATTTAAAGAAGAAGCCATTCAAAGAAGATGTTCTTCGTTCAGCAATTTCGGTTGCATCACCATGTATTCTAATTACGGGATCAAACTCTACTAAACTTTGTTATTAAATTTCATTTAATTGTTCAATATATTGTTGAATAGCAAACTTTTTTCGTTTTACTTCTATTTTGTTATATATAAAGATTTGATGTTATATATTATTGGCCATATATTTGATGACATTTCCAAAAAAAATCAAACTATATACTCCAATGATGAATTTTCGTTTAATTTCCAACTGGCCCCAAGTTTCTCTATTAATTTCAATAGAGCAGATCATAAAACGAATGCGGATATTATGATTCGATCTAAAACTTTTGTCAATAGCGAATGCATCGATTTAATGTTTTGCAACCGTTTTAAATTTCAATGTTATGAATCTATGTGAATGATATTTTGATTACAAGTTAAATTCTTTATATAAAATTTTATTGTCATGCAAAATTGCTATTTAGCGGCTAGTCAATTTAGAAATCAGAGAGATTACTCTTGAATACAAAGATAATTACTCTTTATTAATAGGTGTTTACTTTAGTTTTGAAACATAATCATGAAATAATGATTTAGAGCAGATACAATTGAACACAACAGTAATTGTATCGAATTAAATTAGTAAAATCGCTCGATTTCCTATCTTTCAAGTTTTCGATATTGAGATTGGGCCAGTCATTCGATTATCCTTGTATAAGAAGTACTGTTCGAACTATTGCATTTATTCTAACATTATCATTATAAAGATCTATGTTATTCGGAAATTGAGAACAATATTTGTTATTTGTTGTTAACTGGCTTTATAATGATTTTGTATATGTGCTATCATATTAGTTTCCAAAGTAATTTTTGCATAAAACATCTGTTTTTCAACCTTTGTTCTAATAAGAAATGACGTTACGAGATAATTTTGTCATAAACAGAATCTCTATAAAACGCACATGCTTTTTAAATGAAATTTTAGATTAAATAACAAGCTCCCTCAAAAAATAAATTAGCGATCAAATGTTAAAATAAAGCTAATGGAATGTAAATTTAATGGTAATTCATAAGATTGGATTCAGAACTAAACCGCGAAGTTTTGTGAAGGCGCATAATTATCTAAAAGTGAAATTAGCCACACTTTCACTTTTATGCTAAATTCCTGAACAGAAGCCGTGTCATTTCAAAAAGTCCACACAATTTGAATATATTATTTTGAATAAAAAAATTGTTAATGCTGATAAATTAATTACACATGTTTCGCTATATAAAATCAATAAAAATTGTTATTGAATATAAAGAATAATTAATCTTTTCAAAAACTGATGAGCTCTTTCAGTCTCTCGGCCAGTGACGAAAGAAAGCCTGTCAAAAACGTTCCACTTCATCAGTATAATGTTCAATTTTCCTTCGCAGCTGATATAATTATTAATCATTCCAAGACATTTCCAGATGGCGGTGTAACAATGTCTGAACATATGATAACATTGAACAAGCGAAGCTTATTTGGTGGCTTTTCGGCAATAAAGTATATTCATATACTTAATATTGATTATTTTAACTTTACAACTGATAATATTATTGAAATTGGTTTATCAGATTCATTTTACGGAATTAAATCAACAAAAGAGAATATTTTGAGATTTGTTAGATACTTCCATAGGAATTATCTGCTTATTAATGGTATTATCCCAACAAATCTGAAAATCAATTTTTCAATTGAAGAAAGTTATAATATTATCAATCCAGGCATTTTCCTCTCTCTATCCAAAATGTTTGAAGGCCTCTACAATGCAAATTGTTCTTTAAGAAATTGTACATATTGTCATGATGTAGTTCGATTCATACATAAGCTTATAACTCAAGAAAATTGCATTGCTGACTTCTCCAGGATGCCTTTAAACTTGATGGATAATACTTATTCCACTGCAATTGAATTGGCACCAATCTTTGACACTTTAAAGTTCTTCCCTACGATATCTGGTATCCAAATAAAAGATGTTGGCAGACCGGACTTCTTCTATGCAATAGCTCCTTACGTTAGAGAATCTCCAAACTTAAGATTGATTTCCTTAGAAGCCTGCAACGTTTCCAACGGTTGTGGTGAATTTGGTGTTGCATTGGCAGAAAATCCCAACTTACATCTTGAATATTTGGATATATCTGATAATCCATTCGAAGATTTAGCACCGATTGCAGCCGCTTTAAGCCGAAACAATGGAAATCTTTGGTACTTAGACTTTTCCAATTGCAACATGTCTAATTATGCAATGACAATTGCGATGTCAAGTTTAATTGAAAATCAAAACCTTTGGGACATTATTCATCTCGATTTTCGTGGAGCAACAGTCAAATCAGACTCTGTTGACCTCATTCTCCACTATTTACGTACAATCGATCAAGCAGATCATCATTCTCTTCGTTTCTTATCGTTTGGCAAGCTGACAACTCGTTCTGACGAAATTATTGCCGCGCTTACTAAACATACTCAACCAATTGAGACTTTATATCTCAATGGATCAAAATTTGACAAAAATGGAATTGATAATTTGCTTGAATTCATTTCAGAAACGCGAACACTCAAAGAACTTGACTTATCAGACACAAACCTTACTCCTACTGACATTTCTGATGTCATTACTGCGATTGCTGAAAATAGAAATATTTTTGATTTCGAAATTAAACTTAATAACTTAGGATTGAAGGGAGAGCATCTCGATACTGTCTTAGAAACATTTAGCAAGTACTCTAATTGCAATTGGACGTGTATTTCCTTAGATAAAAACGGAATGAAACCAAATGACGTCAAAAAACTCGCCAAAACGTTCATGAATATGCGGAAGCTCACAGGAGTTTCTATATCATGCAACATGAAGAAGAACCAATCAGGAAATGTCGAAGCAATCGAAAGTTTGTTGAATTTACCAAACTTGAAGAAGCTCTGGATCCATGGAGATGACAAACATTACATTGGCCCGGCCTTGAAGAGAGTATTTCCGAAGGTAAAATCGAAAGGTTTGTTACTTTTCGACTTGGCATTTAATCATATCAAAGACGAAGGCTTAATTGAGCTCCAAAGGATGATAGAAGGTAACTCCATGTTATATGAACTCACAATCGACGGCAGCCATCCACACAACATCGAAACAATTAAAGGATTTATGACACAAGCGGCCAAAAGCAAATATTTGAGGAGAATGAAGTTCCCTGTTGAAGATGTCTTCTATTTGGTCAAGCGCCAGTCGAGTAAAGAAGAGCGAGAAAGCGTGTTTCGTGATATCGCCATAAAACAAAACGCAATTCAAGACCAACTGTTACGAAATCAGACTCTTAAAGGTCTCCACAGCGATCTCAGCGAACAAAATATCCCAGAACTCGATGAAATGCTGGATGAAATGACTGCAAGATGCCATGATAGATTGTCTATCTTCAACACTTTGAAACACAATGGTGCTTTGCTTTCTATTGGACTTCCTTTCCCTAATTTGAGTGAATTCGAGGACCAGGAAAAGAATATTCAGACAACTGAACCAACAAAGGAGATGCAGGACTACGGAATAACAGATGCTGCTGTTTGGTTGAATGAGAAACCAGATGAAACATACCAGATGCATGTCAAGGCTATTAATATAAGAAAAGGTCTTGCAATGGAATCTGGATTGGCAAAGTACGAACCAGAATCAGATAATGACTTCTTCGTGGCTGAATCTGGAATAATGGTATAACTTTTATATGTTTATTTGTTATATATAAAACTATTTAGTGTTCATGATAAAATATGAGTGTTTTTTTTAATATAATGACTTTAGAACAAAAGGAGAAAAAAAAATATAGAGTAATGTCGTTCTAATTGTTAAATGTGTTTGGAAAGAAAAATAATGCATTATCTTAGTTACTTCATGGTTCTGTTTTGCATTAAAGAATATGCTGAAAAATGATGTTTCATATTTAATTCATGAAAATAGTGTTTGATTTTGCTTATCTTTATTCATATTGCTTCAGTTCAATAAAATATAATTCTATCAATGTTGTTTGGTGATGGTAATACTATGCATTAGATAGCTGAAGAATTACATGACTTATCTCCTTCATTAAATTGTTTTAGGCATCAATACATGCATAATAGAACTTTTGGATTTCTTGTGAAAATGCATCAATGATAGAATAATGTTATACTCATAGATCTAGAAGTGATAAAGAATAATGGAAATAGTACAAATATAGATAAGATGTATCACATCATAAGATGATTCTTATTTCTTTCTCTTTGTTGATATAATTCAAATGTTCTATCCTCTATGAAATGATAGTTGTCTAATTATAGATATGTGAAAAATACTCTAGCTGAGTGATATCTAAGATGAATATCTCAATCCAGGAGTGAAAAAGCGAAAAAAACTATCGTAGAATATGATTAAGAGTATCCTTAGCTATCAGGAATGAAAAAAACGCGCCGTCCAGGACTTGAACCTGGACTCTACTGCTCCGTAGGCAGTCGCCTTATCCAATTGGGCCAACGGCGCTTCACAATAGCCTGTAAAAATTTTTATTACTAGATAAAATGAATTTCTTTCAAAGTTACTCTTTAATGATTCAAATTGTTAAAGTGAAATTTAATATATAAAATTTTATTTTACTGTTCGAAATCTATCTATGGTAACGATAGTGAAGATTACCATGAATAATATTTTTAATTCAATTCAGTAATGAGATAAATCATATTATAGGAACAACGTTCCTCGTTCACTGAATGTATAATTAATCTTGTATGAGCTCTCAGTTAAATATTTAATTTAATATTTTGATAGATTTATAAAGTAACTAAAAAACAAAGTATAATTATTTGCGGCAACTTTGGATGAAATCTGTAAGTGCATCAAATAGTGAATGAATTGCTTCTGAAGACTCTAACCAGCAAAGTTGCTCTTCTATTCCATGACTAAACCTAATTCGTACTAAATGAACATCGTTTTGATCTACTATGTATTCCTTTATTGCTGTAGCGCGAGCTTCAAAAACAATTCCTTCAAGTTTTGAGCGAATGCTAATACGCTTCCTGTAATAGTCAAGATGGATGTATCTTTTGACTGATCCGAGAATGATTTGTTTTTGTAGGATATCAAAGGTTAAATAATGTGATCCAAGAAGATCTGTTGGACGTTCGTATGGTTCGAATTTTTCTGGATTTGTTAATTTGTCTTGGCACTTGAATTCATCGGGGAATGGTACAAAATATCCAGAATATAACTTAGTTTTTGTCATTTGATAAAATTTGTCACTTTTTTGACCTGAAATAATCATGTAACAACTAATTTTCCTTGTTTATGACAAATTTAGATAATTTACTTAATATTAAAGAGATTCATCGTATTTTATCTTTGCTAAATTTTCCAAATTTTTTAGAGTTTTGATTTTTTGATTTCAAAATTTGTATTTTTTTCTTTTCATTTTTTGATTTTTGAAAAAAATTTGGAGCTCCAAGGTCTTGGAATGCATGTTTTAACAGTATGAACACATAATATATGGTAATCTAAACGAAAAGCAACCAGAGAATTTTCATAATATCAAAGAGAACATCAAAATCTATTTCATTTCAAGGTAACCTTTACACTTTAAACAAAAATCAAGCTTCAACATTATGGAACTTTAGAATTTAAGTTTTATATCTTAGTCAAAACTGATATGATTCTTGTTATGAGTGAAATGAAATAATTATATCTACACATTGATTGGTACAATAATGATGAAAATGGAAAGTTACAGTATTGCATACATGTTGGTAAACAGAGACCTTATTCTTTTTGATTGAATCATTCTAAATTCAATTTTGTCACTTTTTAAGAAAATATGGGATTATTTAACTCTATTCCTAAGCGTATTAAAGAACTTCATTTTTCAAAAGATCTTTCAACTCTATTCAACTCAGCTAGGATTAGGAGTGATTTCCCATATACAATATTTTATTTAGGAAATACAACCTGTTATAAAGCAGAACCAGCATCAGATTTACCATTTTATTTCTTAGTAACGAAAGAAAACGAGGTGCATGCATTAACATACGATATTTCTGTTCCAATGTCTCATCATTCGTTACAAATTGAAGAAGAAGTCATTCATGTCGCAAAATTGCAAAATAGTATTCACGCACTTACACTTAAATCAGGTAAAATAGCAGTTATTACAAATTATGCAGACAAATTCGAAAGAAAAGATTATTTCGTTAAAAACGCATATATTTCACTTCCTTTAGATGAAACTCAATTCCTTTCAGTTGGAACTGACTACTCGATTGTGCGAGTTCCTTTTTCAGGCGAAATTTCCTACGCAATGCAACCAATTCGAAATATCTCAGAGCCACCGATAGATGCTCTAGTTGTTCCTACAAATCCTCAACTAGTGGCCCTAATATCAGATAAAATCTTAATCGTTTGTTCTTTGGGACATTATGGAGTTACAACTTACCCAAATCTTGGCGAAGGGTTTGTTAAACTCGGCGTAATTAATCCAAACTCACTACTCGTACTCGCCGACAAAGGAAAATGCATCTATTTTATTAAATTAACAATTGAAGGCAAACTTGAAGGCGAAAAGACCAAAATACCACCAAGCGGGTTCCCAGAACCGATGACAATGTTCGAAACCCACGACAGAACGTTCTCAGACCCTCCAATGAAAGGTAATGTTTCACTTGCTTATTTATGCAACGGAAAATCAATTACGTGCATCGATTCCAACATGTTTTTCATGCAATACCAGCTACCAGAAGACAAGACAGCTACTCACATCTTCCAATTGAACTCAATTCCACATAATATTTTGTTGGTTGCTTGTAATGATGGCAGTGTTATACTTATAAGGCTCTCGCAGGATAGAGGTGCCAATACTGTTGGTTCTTTCTACCATTACGAGCTTCAGAACCTTCACAACGCGCCAATAAAATACATTCACTCAGCAATTCCAATTATGTTCATGACAATAGACGAAAACAACAAAACTGTTGCATGGGAAAGCTTCCCCAACTGGTGGTGGGCTCCAAACTACTTTGACATGTTCAAAGGCGTTATTAACGAGGGAGAGAGCAATGACAGCATGGCAGATACTGTTTAATTGTAAGTAAATTATTTCGATGTTAGTATTAATTAATTTTTGATATAATTTTTTTGTATTATAGGTGTTGTCGATTAGATTTTTTATTTTGAGTACATTAACTTTTGTATATATAGATCATTGTGTAACTGTTTAAATCGCGCGGTTGTGTTATTGTATGCTTTACTATAGACAAGAAACCAAATTCATTAGGTGAGGAAAGACCCCCATAGAAACTCGCTCGAGATAGGCGAAAAAACTTTTGTCACCTTTTATAAATCATATGATTTGATGCTATATATTGATAAGAATAGCTATAAAATAATGAACATATCATGGTTATAACATGTCATATAAGTCTCTTATTTAAATTCTTTGATAAAGATTCACTCAATATTTAGGCACGAAAACGACATTGCATAGGAAAAAATAGATATAATTGGAATTGATTTTGGATTGAAAACAATCATGTTTTTACATCAAAATGAGAAGGTAAATAACAGACTTGGCTGATGGGATGTTGATAGTTAGGAAATTGTATGTAGATGACGTATATTTTTGTTTATTCATATTATCATGTACCAGAAAACACCTTTTTTATCGTTCTAGTTTGAAATTACAAGAGAATTCATATGTCTCAATGATGAATATTCCAATTTTCCATAAAGCAATTCCTTCATTAAACACACTAATTTATGATTGAGAGAATGCATATTTAGAAGTATAATACCAATGCAATGAAATTTTGGACCATTCACAAAATCCAAAATTTTTCTGAAGACTTGAACACTAAATATTAGAAAAAAACTAAAGTAATTTGGATAAAGAAATAATCATATAATATCTATATTTTTAATATCATATAAAATGTTATTCCGGATCTTTAATTTGGTATTCTGGAGCGCACATTCCAGAAGTCATTGCATACATATCATATTTAACATTAGAAAGATCGATATTCTTTGACAAAATGACCATTTCCTGGCCAGTATAACATTTGAAGATTTCTGGCATTTCTGGCTGTCTGTGTTCGACAGATAATGATACCTGTTGACAGTTGACCATCATAGGATTCGTCATTTCCAACATTTTTTTGACATCAGCCTTATTTTGCAGATAAACAAGCACATCCATTCTATTTCCAACGAGTCTGAACCTAATTTTCGGATTATTCTCTTCATCCTTGACGAATTCGCAATTTGAGAACAATTGAATTATATCCGAAATTTTATTTGAACTATAGGACAAAAGGCCTGATACAAGGATTGGCGGTGGAAGATTACCCATTTGTGTTAACTCTGTTGTCTCTTTTTCTGCTTCTGCAATTAATTTCTTCTTCTCATCTTCGAAAATATTTTCTATCTCCGAAAGAACGAAACTTCTTATCAAAGGGATACTCACGCAGCTTGCCATTTTATCCAGGCACTCTTGTCTCTTCTGTTGGAACGCTTGTTTCCTTTTTTGGTCCTCTTGTCTCTTTTTTAATTCTTTTTCTTCCTTTGCACGCTTAGCCATCTCTTTCTTTCTGTTGGAAAGCGTTGGTTTGATGATATGCATGGCATTGGACTCCACGTAGTTGTTCAGAAGAAGCTCAACAACTGATTCAATAGCTTCATTTTGGATATCTTCTGGAATGGTCTCAATAAATGAAATTGTCTTGGGAGGTGACGGTTTCTTGGACTTCTTTGGATGGTCAAGGCCTTCAAATTCCTTCATTTCGTCAGGAGTAAGATCATGGATAGAAGATTTAGGAGTTTTCGGAGGTTCTTTGGTATCTTTAGTATCTGCAGGTCGTATAGGTTCTGATTTCGAAGTAGTTGGGACGTTTTGAGGAAGATTTGGCTGTATTGGCTGGGAATTTTGAGAATTTTGCTGTTGTTGGGCTTGTGGTTGTATTGGTTGTGATTGAGTAATTTGAGGTGATGCTTGTTGTTGAGTTTTCTTCGGTTGTTGTTTGGATGAATTTTTTGATTGATTTTCTGTAGATGATTGAGGTTGGAATGGTGATGATATTAAGTCTATTAATGGTTTTAATAATGTATCAGCTCTATTCATATCTTCTTGGTCATAATTAAGTAATCTAGTCTTTGTAACGCACTGGCGAACATCAATTGAAGGAGATCGTAATACATTCGATATAACAGGTGGTATTGGCATATCAATCGGGTAATCTGCATTGCTGAATTGCGGAAATTGAGAATCTAAATGTTCTCTAAAATCGAGATCGTCTGAATCTTCCTCTTCATCGAATGATATATCGTCTTCTGATAAATATGGCGCTTTGATTTGCATCCTCTGCTGAAGAACAGGCTCAAATGGAGTTGAAGGTTGAACTGCAGTGGCATCAAACTGTAATTTAGTAGTCATATTGTTTATACTATCGTTTTCATTGCTAATTATATCAATATGCTTCTGTAAAGAGTCAGCAAATATCGCTGGATGACAATCACAAACGTGTTGTATTCCATCTTCTTGCTGAAACCTTGCATGACAGATATTACACTCCCATTCATCAAGTGATGCTCGAAAAATGTATGATTCTGCTACTGAACAAATGAAACTCATCGAAGATTGATAATAATCATTTGAAACATTGTTTAATAGTCGACTTATCTTGCGTTTTTGCTTCGGATTGATTCTAATGCCATCTATCGAAGGAGACCAATCATATGAGAAAAAAGAATTTGATTTAAATAAAAATGGTACATATGGTTCAGATCTACCGAGACCGTAGCAAAGCCCTGTATCACTGGCTTCTTTCGCAAACTCAAATAGAATCTGAGAAGGTGAAATTTTTAACTCATCCATATTTGAAGACGATAGAATGTTTTTAGTAAAAATCTTCACATTAATTCATATGAAAACATATTTACCATAATCTAAAAATCCTGAAAATTATGAAATTTAGCAACTATGATATAATATATAAAAAATTTATTCTAAATTATAAGAATTCTTTGGTTAATACTCATAAAATGAGTCATACAGAAGAAATTAGAAATGTATTTCCACTCTGATTAGTTCAATTATTGTTATTTTTTTAAAATCCATTTGATATTTTCACAACAATTATAAATATTATAGGATAAATGTTAAATAATAAAACAGTGAAATACTAAGAAAACGCTATATGAATAGATTTAAATAAAACAAAACATAAAAATAATTAAATACTGGGACAAAACATTTTGGCTATTGTTGGAAGCATAATTTGACTCTTGAGGCCACTTTCGCCAGTATTGACGTCAATAGAGTATATCAGACAAGCTCCTTTCTCGTTTGTAAGGCACAAACTGTGTCCTCCTTCGAGAATATGCGCGCGAATGGTTTTAGAGCCTTCAAGAGGTACAAGGACCTCTGCCTTTGGTAGGAAATAGCCATCGCTCTCACTCTTTTCGCATTTAAAAATATGAGCTGTTTGATGCGAACTTGTAACGCTAAAGAAGCGTGAATCTGGGGAGAAGGACACATGTACGATCTTAGCATTGAAGAATCCGCGTCGAGATTCTTGAATTAGTTTACCATTTATATCATATAATCTGACAATTGTTCCTTTGATGGATGTAGTAGCAATATATTTACCGTTGTATGATATAGATGCACATCTGATACCAGATTTTGCAACTCTGAAGGTAGTTGTAGGAGCAGAAGATGGAATTCGATGAATTACGATATTTCCTTCAGATATATCATCTTCATGAGAAAAGATACAGTGACTTGGATCATCAGGAGTTGATACAAGTGAAATTGCTGCTGGTACTGATGGAGTTTTTAATGTATATAATAAAATTAAAGGATTTGATGAAACTACAATAGCGCCAACATCAAATACTGCACAAGCGTAATTTCTTGATGAATAAAATTCTAAAATATCGCTGGCCACTGCAATTGATGTAACTTCGCATTTTTCTCTATAATTATAAAGTATTAATGTATTGGGTCTTGCCTTATCTACTACGAGTATATGCTCATCGCCGAGTGGTAATGTGAAGAAAACGATTTCAAAAGGAAATTCGATTAATAATTCTTTTTCTAATGATTTTGTTGAGAAAAATATAACACATCTCTTGTTCCTGTATGCTACTTGCTCTACTTCAGGGAACATAACTGTTTGCGGTATCACTCTCTCATTTGACATCGAAATATAAAAAAAAATTTGAAAAATTTTATAAAAATTTTGAATGATTTACATTTTTGCATACTCCAACAATTTCCAGTCAATGTATTACAATTGATGAATATTATTTCTATAAAATGTATTCAAAGAAACAGAAAAACTTTCAAATTAGAAGATATCATTGTCTGAATCGCTAACATCTGAGCTTGATTCGTCCCTGATCACCACAGACGCGGCAAAGATCTCAGCATCAGTTACTGGAGCATACTCGCGCTTCTCTCTAATTGGAGTTCCGCCAAGAGAACGGCGAATGGATGTCTTACGTAGTTTCTTCTTAGCGCCATTCTTAATAGCGTTAAGAAGTTCGAAGTGAACATCTACGAACTGTTGGTCACTTGGTACGTTTGTCTTTCCAACGACCTTTTGAATCTTCTCAGCCTTCTTAACGGCTGGTGGTGGGGGCGGTGGAGGTGGTGGAGGAGGAGGTAATGAGGTCGGTGGTGGTGGTGGAGGAAGAACAGCTTGTGATCCTTCCTTCTTTGTCTCGAGTGTCTTAACATTTGTTTCTGCTTCCTTTATTTCTTCCTTTAATGCTGCGACATCATTTAAGATTTCGTCTTCTGCAAGTTTAGATTTCCTGCGAACGCGCGTTACCTTTGCAGCTGTCTGCTTGACTTCTGCATCTTTAGATTTCTTTCCGAAAATCCTTGAGAAAAAGCCTTGCTTTTCCTCTGCCTCTGGCTTGTTTGGTGTGATGTTTTCTGTTGATATATCTTTCTTCGCTGTGAGCGGACGGGCACCTCTACGGCTCATCTTCGATGAAAAATGATGATAAACGTACAGATATTCAATTAATTATTTTAAACGTATGATGTGAAAATATTTTTTTACATGTGACCATTTGACAAAAAATAATTAAGAATAAAAGATGTACACACTATTAAGGATATTAAAATGAGATTAAAATTGAATGGTAGGCACTGTACGTTAAATTGATTTTGGACGATGAATTTCATATCACCCTGGTAAGTTTGAGCATTTACAAGGTCATAAAATACGTTAAGGACCTTTCAATTATGAAAAATCATTACGAAAGATCTTGTGAATCATATATAAACATATAAATGGATTATTCACTCGATTGCCATTGGCAGCTAAGGCGGCCAATTATATATCATTTGCTTGTTTCTCTGAATAACAAATCTAGATGATAAGTTTCTGGATCGACCTGTCATATTTTTCCCAAAAAACTATTATTGGCAGGAAAAAAAATTTGCGATTTCAGGTATTTTTTAACTACCATCATGTTTTACTCATGAATTTTGACTTGTTTCTGAAGCGGAGATATAAACTGTAATTGATTTGTCAATAGGAAAGTATGATCAATGCATTTCATTTTGATTTGATACATAGCAATCAACATCATTCTTTGTGTTGACACGCTCGATTTAAAATAAAACATGTTTCAAGTTTTATATATCTATAATAATAATATTTTACTAATAACAAACAAAAAACCCTATAGGAGCATGATTAAAAGTAAGAATAAAACCATACTATATTTCATTTAAACAGCCAGCATTTCTCTTTCTGCGAAATTCGATCTGCAGGGACCATCGATATGTAATAAAGGCCAAAATCTTTAGTATTAAATTGGCCTTGGCGAACAGGAGGGATATCTATTAAGTCAGATGTATCTGTGTTAAAAACTTTAATATATTGATGTGTTTCTTCAAATTTTGAAAGATCATTAACTTTTTTCTGTATTAAAAATGTAATAAAATTTCTACTCTGCTTTATATTTGGAATAGAATATAGTTGCCAATCATTAATCGCAATTCCAAGTTTGTTTGAAGCTAATTCGTAAAGTTCTGGGTGTACTTCGGAGCAAGAAACTAATCCAGCTCTAATAAGGGTTTTAACAGTTTCCAAATCGATTGAAATATTTGCTGAAATGATATCTGGATTTAAAAAGACATGCTTTTTAAAAATTAAAGCACCCACATAAGGGAATATGTCAAATACATCTGCTTTCATTTCAAAACAATCAGAAAGAAGAAGTTTTAATGGTTTGAATATATTATTGATTGTTTTTAGAGTTGGTAATCTACCAAGTCTCTCCTTACACATTTGTTGAAACTTTGTCATTGTACTCAGCTCGACAAGATTCTCATCGAGCTCCATCAATAAAAGTTTTTCAGAAAAGTGACAATTCCAATATGAATCAGAAAATCACTCTGCATTGGATAAATAACTCTGTACTTGGTAAACATATGAATATAACAAAGTTGCTCTATTTATGGTACTAAGTTATTCGAGAAAGTATGGCATCATGGAGACTATTCTGTATATGAGAAAGTCTTGATTTAAGTTTCCACTCAAACTTTATTGAATTTTCCAAATTTTTACCATTGTTATATATATATATATAGTGTTTAAGTGGGGAACTTTGATATTTTTTTCCACACCATAGTAGTTTCACTTTTTGCGTATGAACTCTATATTGATTCTGGCTAGAAACTAGAGAAATTAAAAATTTTCAATTTTTGGCCCATTAAAAATACCTTTTTGAAAATAAAAAATATTATTATTAATTGTATGTGATGCTTGACATATATTCATAAAATCATGTGATTTGGAGTGATTGGCAAAAAAATCTTGTCCATCATGTAAACCTCGATGTCACTTTTGCGGCCGCGCTCCACTCGGCCGCAAAAGTGACATCGAGGTTTACATGGATGGGTTCTATATATATACAGCTTGACCGGTAGAAAAGCGGATCGATTTTTATCAATAATTGGACATTCTCTTTTTAATAAAATAAACATATATTTATATGGGAAATTAGGGAGATCAAAGGTAACTAAACTACTTTCGCCGATCCGATTTGCTCCATATTTAAAATATAGCTTGCATATGTAGAAGAAAAGCTAATTTTGAAGTACGCCCGAAATCCACCAACAGGATTTCGAGCTACTAAAAAGGTACTTTTAAATGTGATTTTTTTTATAAAAAATTAAATTTATTTTAAGATCAGACTAAAAACTAATTTTATGGAAAATCTATATCGACAAATTTATTACTTATTGGGTATATAGATTTTTTGATTATGGCGATTATGTCTGATATGCTTCCAATAAGCCAAAACACATTTCATACTGATTTCTATAAAAGGTATCTTTATTATAGAAGTGTAAGCTATATCTGTTTGTTTTTTTATTATAACAAATTCAAAATTCTCTTATAAGGACTAGATGAAATCTGTATTATTAAATCATTAGCTAAATGAAGGTTCAAATAGAAAGTAAATATCAATTTATATGATACTGAAACCAAATAGTTCTTTTAATAAAAGATAACACGCTGAAAATTATTGAGTATTTGCAAATCTCAAAAATCTATTGGTGAATTTGGCTCAACTTTTAAAATTATAACATCCATATCAAATCATAAAAGCAGACAAAAATTAAAGCCAAACCTATCGGCCAATTTTTTTTTGATATTTTGATTTTTGAGGTATACTTTTAAAAGTGGATTTAAAGCACTTATGAAAAAACATTAACTTCTGTCGTTATGATTATTGATTTAGACAATAATGATTTTAATCTTTGATTATCAAAACACTAAAGTCATCTTTTTAACATTTGCTTGGTAGCATTAACTCAAGTCTAAAGTACTATTTTATGTGGCACTCTTAGAATTTTTGTATTCATTGTACACGCTGAAATAGTACCATTAAAGTTATGGCGGACTTTCAAAAAATAGTTTGGTCACCTTTGGGAGATCTGAAACTTAAAAATTATTTTTGAATTTTAATATGATGAATGTAATTGTGATAATATGTAAAAAAGTAGTGGGGCTTCCAGGCACTTCGTGCCCTCTAGCCCCGAAGATGTTTAGTATAAATGAAGTTTTTATTCGGAGGGCTTCCAGGAGCTTTTCACAAATTATATATGTTTTCATGTTTTGTCACTTTTCTGTCACTTTTCGGGTAAAAACATTTTTATTATTATATATAAATGAATTTTACAAAACCACCGTTACCGTTCTTTGGAAATAAGAGTAGATGTAAAGATATTATATTGAGAGAACTTAAGAAACTACCGAATGGTCTAACATTTGTAGATTTGTTCGGTGGAAGTTTCTATATATCTCATTTATGTCATACCGTATTTCCTGACTCAAAGATTATATGCAATGACTTCGACAACTATATGGACCGTCTCAAACATATTCCAGACACAAACAATATATTGAAAGAGTTAAAAGAAAAGATACCTATAGGTAAGATGGAACGTATACCATTAGATAAGAAAAATATTGTGAGAGAGGTTTTGAAAAAAGCAGAATATATAGACTGGAATAGTATATCTGCTAGACTATTATATAGTGGTGCTATAAGAGTTCATGACATTGAAACACTTATGTCAAAAGTTTTATATCTTAACTATACAAATGTTTTCAAAGAGGACATAGAAAAATATATTGAGGGTATAGAGTTTGTGAGATGTCATTGGACAGATTTGTATGAAAAATATAAAGACAAGGAAAATGTTTTCTTTATAGTGGACCCGCCGTTCTATAACACATGGGATTTTCAATACCAAGTAGACTGGACTTTGAGAGACTCTTTAGAAACTTTAGACGTTTTACATAACTGTCCATGCTTTTACTTTACATCCGATAAAAGTGGTTTGGAAACCGTTATGAGATGGTTAGAGGACATACATGACTATGAGTTTATATATGACAAGATAGAATATGAGAGAGGTCCTATAAACTGGAGAAAGTGTCATAACAAAAAATTTTATTAGTAAGTAAATGTGGTTTGAAATAGGACTACTTGTTTTAGGTTTTTTCCATTGTGTCATTTATTTATTTGACGTGGCAGAAAAGTACAGAGAATATGAAGATGAACCAATGCCTGCAAATGTTCAGTATATGTACTCGTAAGAGATATTTTTATCTAATATTAAATGGACGCACAGAACTTAGCGAATGCACAGCAACCTGGACAACCAAACCCAGAGAATATTCCAAATGAAGTTAGAATACAAACTGCAATGGCAAACTATGGTCAAGTGCCAACAGATGTACAAATGCAAACTGCCATGTCAAATGACGCTGCGTTAGGCTTACCACCATGGTATGCAAATATGAGATGGAAAGAGTTTTATACAAACCCTGAAGTGGGATATAAACAACTCTATGCAGATGACGCGAACACAGGAGTTGACCCAGAATATGTTTTCTACCAGAGGAGAAACAGAATGTATGAGCTCCAGTTAAAGAATGCTATGGAACTCAACAGGAAACGTAAGAGACTAGGCGGACATTAGATTTTTACATATAGTAAAATGGGTTTCTTCAGTAAGATAGGAAACTTCTTTCGAAATGTTGGAAGAGGTATATGGAATGGAATAAAAACCGTAGGAAGAGGAATTTGGAACGGAGTCAAAAATATTGGTAAAAGAGTAGGTCAGTTTGTTGGTATTATACCTAAAGACCCTGAACCAGAAGAACAAGCCCCTGTTATACAACAGCCTGAACCTGCACCACAGTCTAGTTGGCAACCAAATCCAACACCTCAACCGTATTAAAATTATATTTTTACCGTTCGATAGTAGTTGTATATGAAACTAAGTTCTAAGTAAAACGCGTGGTATAATGGAATTATTCTCTTTCTTCCATCTGTAGTAAACCATACTTGAAAGTCTGAAATACTTCCACTTGGTGGTTCATATAGCTTTGTAGGTTTTTCGTAAAAGTCATTTGCCAAGCATAAAAAAGAGTTTTGAGCGCCAGAAAATGAAGCATGAACAATAATAGCAGCTGGGTCGAAAACATCTTTAAATAAATATGGTTCATCTCTTGCATATCGACTGTAAATATTTGCTAAAGGAAGTTCGACTTTCTGATTTAACATTCTTTGCAAATAATACCATGACATTGCAGTGAATTCTGTATATATTTGTTCGTCTTTCTTTGGATTGTCTTCGTAGATTTGAAATGACACTTGTGAATTTTGTTTGTCATATACAATTCTCACATAAAGTGTGCTCTCGGTATTTGCATATTCATCAGCATATTTTGCATAACATGAATTTATTTTATCTTCTATATTTTTTAACGCAGTCTGTAGAGAAGATGAAAGGTCAACTTGTATTAGCTCAATTTCTTCCCACATTTTTCGTTTCCCTTCAGATATATAATCTATATGAAACCTTACAATAAATGGAAAACTTTTATCTTCTACAGACACAAACTTCATTCTACGAAAGCCAATAGCTTTTGTGACAGATGGGTCTCTTAACCATCTTAATGGGTAGTCAAAACGATAGCCTTCATGCTTTACGGTCTCTGTCTCAAACTTTTGACCGACATTAGTAAAAAGTTCATCTAATGGTTTAGTTGTAGCAACTCTTGAATTTTCTTTTCTATTGGAAGCATATTTTATCTAGAATAAAAATGTCAAATGAAACAGCGTCTATGAGAGAAATACAACACAACCGACAACTCATTATGCAAGCTCTAAATAAGAACACAACAAACTTTTCAAACTATTCTAGAATCTGAGTCATTGAAAGAAGGAAACTTAAAACTGACATTAAACCCAATGACAGATGAGTTTCTGTTTCAAGACAATAAGAACCATACTGTCTGTATAAATCCAACAAAAGGAACTTTAAACGAGAAACCTATAAATGAACTTCTTTTGAAAGCAGATGTTGACAACAAAGCTGACAAAGAGTATGTAGACGATGCAATAGCAAAAGAAGAAGAAAGAGCTAACAAAGCTTATGCAACGAAAGAGGATGTTGAAAAGAAAGCTGACAAAACATATGTTAACGATGAGTTAGCATGCGTGGCTAGTGCGTTAGTGAAGAAGGCAGATAAGGAATATGTGGATGAAAAAGACAATGAAATTAAAGAAAGGGTTGACTGGTACCATGAACGGACAACAAAGATTTTAAAAACGAAAGCCGATACAGGATGGGTTTCAGGATGTTTAGACCTTAAAGCCGACAAGAACCATACACATACCATTGCAAATATTACAAACTTACAAGAAACCTTAAACAGGAAAAGTGACGTTGGACATACACATACCATTGCAAATATTGCAAACTTACAAGAAAAGTTAGATGACAAAGCTGACAAGAACCATACACATACAAGTTTTA